GTAAATTGGTTTCGATTTTCAAATCGGTTTTCTGCACTTCGTAAAGACTTGCCAATTGAATTTTAGATGACTGTATAATGCAAGATATTTCCGCACGTGTAAGAGGATGACTCAGGTCCAAAATTTGAAACAAATCATTGCAAGAAATACCCTGTTTTTATTTTTGTTTGAGGCACATCAAATAAGTGCAAATGTTAAATTCCAGCTCTCCCAAGTCCAAAATAACTCTTACAGCATTTCAGCAAACGCAAATCCTGGATACAATTTTTCTACGACACTCGACGAAGAAATTGCTGATAGGTAAACCAAATCCTTATACCAATCTTGTAGGGCCAGAGGTTCGCAGATAAAGATGTACACGTTTAAAGCTTACTAGAACATTTTGAAATATATAATATTGAATGAATCCCATTCCATTCTGGTACCTTGTAGGAGGATTTCAAACGAAGGAAATCTGTATCTATATTTTAAAATCGTTTTCAATGTATGAAATATGTATGAAGAAATTTGAATTAAATTTAGAATAAAAAAGATAAACTTGTTAGACTAATGAAATGAAATCAGTATTATTTGGATATTTAGGTATCAAATGAAGTGATGAAATGAAATGATGAGAGATAATCGGAAAGGAGGAGAATTAATTTGTTATGGTATTTGTTCAGATGACGGACTGGTGTTTATTTTGTTAAGGGACGGGTTGTCAAACGGTCGTGATTTTCTACCGTTTGATCACTTTAAACTTTTAGTCTATATATCTTCTATTTCTCGAGCTCATGTTTGAATGGTGGCCAAACTGATTTTACTTTCAATTTGAACTACTGTATCGTTGTGTGTCGTAAGTTGTTTTCAAAACATGGTATAGTTAAACTGGAACTTGAATTAGCAACTGTGTCACCATCCGTTTGGACTTTCTGGATCACTTTCGATAACCGTTTTGGGTGTTTTACAGTGTTTTTCATAATAAACACCATATACAATATTAGTACCGTCCTGGAAGTGTAGCGCTGGGAAAATTTATAAATTATAAGGTGACATAATACATAATAAAATATAAGATCAGTAAAATTGTTATGTTATGAACATTGCATATGTATTGTTTCCGGGTAACTATTGTGTTTTATTCTTGTTTCTAAAACATGTTTCTCTGTAATTTACTGGTATCTTTATCGGTATGTTATTGTCAGTCTTCGTATAACTTGTAAATGCGGGTTCATTGAGAACATTGTATCTTACATTTCCCTTGTATTGTTTTATGTAATGATTTGACAGTGCCCTCACGTAAGACAGATTAGGGCGGAAAGTTTAAAACTGACGGAAGTTTTGAAGTGAAAGAAATTTTCGTTGATTTGAATTTGATAATCACCAACTTAATACCGGGGCTCTGTTTGGCTTTTATCAACTGAATATTAACGGACAATTTAAGTCAACGGATGTAAATATCTAAATTAACCTTACAAATCTTGTGTAGGACTTCCACTGCTTGCCAAGCATAACATACACTCAGTTTAGAAACAGTCCAGTTTTCTACCAAAGAGTGCAGTGAAACACCCAGAAGAAAGAAAATAGAAGTTCGACTTATATACTTATTTTCAAGGACCAATAAGAAGTGTGTCTCAGTAAGTCTTGTGTTGATAAAACGGATGATTATGGCGACCGAATCTGCTTAGATAATGTCGGATTACTTTTTGAAAATTGAAACTTTTAATACCCAATATATTAAATATAAGTATAAAGAAGATAGAAACTGTGTGTAGTTGAAACGTGACTGGTTTCGATTTGGTTTTGTGTCACAAAATTTCTCACATAATTCAAACTTTGTCAGCATAATTTTTCTGAAATATACTTTACATTTCTTAATTTAAGATGAAAAAATATTTAAAATGTGCAATTGTAGCTTCTATAGTTCTTAATTATTCAATTTCTTGCATATTTGGCTGTCGACAGTTTATACCGTGCACACGTTGTGATGTTTACTATGAACGCGCACCCACAGATTGTACCTCTTTTGTTCTGTGCCGAGAAGGAAGACCTTTTCCATGGTTTAAGTGCAGCGTTGGTTTGGTTTGGTCCACCCGATTAAAAGCTTGTGTTTGGACGTACACCGATCCTACTGATTGTATCCATCAGGACAAGATTAATATACCGGAGACTAAAAGACCTATACCAACTCTTAAGCCTATTGCTAAAAGACCACGCCCTATTTACAAACCCAGAAAACCAAAGAGACCCAGGTTCTTCGCGACAAAGGCTCCAAAAACAACCTCTAGAGTCGATTTTAAGTGGACTACGAAACCAACAACAAAGGAACCTGAAAACACTGGTATGTATAGTTTTATACCTTTTTTATAACATTACTGCAATGAGCTCAGTCTTGCTCTGCCTTTCTTATTGCATGAAAGTTGGGCATGCTACCTTCTGACTTAAACGGTCATCAGCAAGACCATATTGCATTAATCCCAAGACAGTGGCGATGAGACTTAGATCTTTGTAATACCCGAATCTACCGAGATCAAATTGTTATATACGTATTGTGCTATATATGAATATTATTACAATTTCAATCAGGTTAAATACTGTTTCAATTGGTTACATATACACAGAACATCACTATATTTAAGCTTGGAAAAAATAAATCCAGATTGAAACATTTTGTCAACAAAAACATGTTCTTAGCTATTTGTTTTATGGTCTAAATAAACGTGTAAAATTGGCTAAGTAGCAAATATCTGTGAAGTTTTTTTTATCAATATTGAATGAAGACAATGTAGGGACGTCCAATTTAACAGAAACATTTTGCTTTTGGTTGTATTCCGAAAAACTAAAATGTTTTGGATGCTAAAATCGTAAAAGCATGATAACTCCAAAAGAGATTATAGATACTGACATTGTATGATGTCTGCCATGATTGCTATGATCTCTAATATATAATTTGGTTGATATTAATACTGCCATTTTATCATAGTGGTAATGAATAGTTGGATATATAGTAGTTAAACAAATTACAAATCAGACTTTTTATCACATATTCACGAAACAGAAAATACTCATTCCATTGACCTTTATGAAGAAATCGGAAGGGACTTCATAAAAACTAATGTTACAATTCTGTTTCTATGCAACTATCTCTTTTCTGGTTTTTGTTCTTTTCTGTTACACCCAACCTTGCTTAAAGGATATTGGTTGGATCATTCATATCTTACAGAGCCTTCGCAAAAACACCTAAACATCGAGTATGTCGATTTGTTAGTATCAGATAATTAGAAATTGATTTGTCAAGGTTTTGAGGTCGACTAAACAATTACCTAGATTAGACAGAGTTAGCATTGAGATTAACCTTTCCACTTTACAAACTTGACAACAAATTGTTAAACTATTTGTTTATTCGTGAAGAGAGGACAGTAAATTGTACATTTACTGCTTGTTAAAAAATTCTCTGAATATCTCTGAATGGTTCCGAAAGCAATAATCGACAAACATTGGTCATATAGTCATTACTTCTAGATTGAACCGATTAAACTTAGCTCAATTCTGAATGAAAGGCGATTTACGCAACTTGTCAGATCGTAAAATGTGTGATAAAGATTCCCCAGAAGTTTTGGTTTTATAGTTGAGATATTCATAGCATCTAAGCGATTTTAATTAAATCTAACTGCAATGTTCAACTGTCCCAGAAAAAATAATGTTTTTGTTAAAATTTAATCATTTTTTTATAAAATACCTCCGAATTATAATCCGGTTAATTTAAGGTTTAGAAAATTTGTAACCTACAGGCATTGCAGTTTTTGAGCACGGAATATCGCACTTCCAATATAAAACAAAAATAAAACAATTACGTGTGCATGGGCGGACTATGCTGTTATTTCACGATGTTTGTTTATTTCAAACAGACCAGTTACAGATCATTCAGTCTAGCAGAAGCTTTTCAACGAAAGGAAGCAAACAGGCAAAATTGGTTAATATTTTTAAGAGTTCTCGCGTGAGAAAAAGTCCAGTAATAGTAATACAGCCACATTTGATAAAACTACAAGGCTGGCTTATTGAGTGATAAAACTGTTGTTAACACGATTTTCTTTATGACGCTTAGCTGTCGATAGTCATCCTTGAAACGTCTGACTAAAAAATGATAACAATAAACGTAGGTGATGTTGGTCGGTTCAAACAGATCTAGTTTAAACTATGACACCATTGGTGTAATATGACCTTCATTGACCCCTGTGTTAAACTGTAAAACAAAAATATATATAATATAATAATAGCCTCTACTCGGTGTTAAAGAAATATAACAAGAAATTATGCTATTTTTGTTAATAAAACGAAATCCATAATTTGCAAGAATAGCATTATGGGTTTCAAGAATCCTTCTATTATCTAGTCTTAGGGCAAGCATTATAGTTATAGATATTTCCACAGTATGGATACCCTTTACAGCTAGTTAGACTGAAGTATGTGTGCTCTGGATTGGGAATAAGTCAAGGTCACAGACTGGCGACCACTATTATGCCTATACCGACATAGCCCATCATAACATGTCATAAGATTTTTATTAATCTTGCACTAAGTGATCGAACTGCTGCATTACAGCATGTCTCAATAGCGATTCGGTTGTAGCAAGCTGGATAGAAAAAATCGTGTAGTGACCTATACATTCCTAGCTCCAAAAAGAAACTCTTACTGTGTCAATCTGTACATGCACATGACAGAAAAAAATATAAAGAAATTGTAATCTCGACCCTAGACAGAAAGTTCTTAAAATCTCAACAATGAAAACTGTCAAAACCTATGACCTAATATTGTCTTTATTATAAACCTAATCCCTTCAAATATTTGATAAAACGTACACTTCCTTCATTTAAAAATCTTAAGTATTTTTTTTATTTAAAAAACAAAATCTTCTTCTTGTAATTCTCTGTATATATCGTTCACCATTGTGATAATGAAGCGCAATGTGTACACTGCCAACATAAATTGAAAAGGATGTGATTTTTAATGGAAGTAACATAATGTTCATATCTTGTTTTAATGTTTGTCTTATTTTGTTCGTTGTATTCTCTCAATTTGATAAAGTGTCTTCACGTCATTTTATAGAAAGATGTGGTATCAAGAGTTCTTTGAATATCGTTGGTGGTCGTGCAGCCAACCCTGGAGAGTGGCCCTGGCAAGCTTCGTTACAAATAAGGGATAAATATACAAGGGAATATCAGCATTTCTGTGGTGCAGTGTTAATTGGAGAATATTGGGTAGCAACGGCTGCTCATTGTGTAATTGAGTAAGTATAACAAATCTATTTCTTGTTATTCCACATACATACATACATACATAATGTTTTATTCGTTTTCCATAACTTCTTAATATCAACAGGCATATTTTTATTGTAAATGGGTATACAAAATACAATTGTGATATGTTTAAGGGATATTACTTCTTAGAATGGACATAAAAGTTAAAGTCTCATACTTGGTCAATAAGAGTATATATTCATCATTTGGACTTACCAGGTGCCAAGACTAAAGAATAGAATCTCTATACAATACGATAAATCCATTAAACTAAGTAAGTAGGCCTATTGAGAAACGCTTCAAATTTCTTATATGAATTATGGTTTAAATGTGTTTTTCAGTAAAAGACAGAGTGCATTGTCAGTGTTATTGGGAGCTCATCATCTCAATACTTTAGATGGTCAAGAGGTCCGAATTGGTATCAGCACAATAATAACAGTAAGCAGCACTTTTCTTTCGAATTACTGTTTCTTCTAAATTTTAATAGTAGATTTGGAGAGGAATTTTTACATACTTCAATTTCAAATCTAAAATCCGCACCGAGAAGACTCACTCTCGTAATGGTGGCAAGCAATCCAATATGGAACTTAAAACTTATAAAGAAAGAAAGCCAATCCTGATAGACATCGAGTTTATCTTCCTAAATGCTTATTTCCATCTTAAATCCATTTTTTTTATGGCTACTTTTACGGATTGATAAAGATTTCTTTTTTTCATGTAAACATACACTGTTATGAATAAGGTAACGACAAAGTAATGAATTTTTTGACCCCCTAAATTTAATCCGGTACTAAAATGATTATACTGGTTGATATTGGATTTGGATACTGACATGAGGTTTGAAACCGTTTAGAAAGAAAGATGATGAAATTCCAAAATAATGGTTAATGATTTTCTTTTTTCAGCATCCATACTATGTTGATTCAGGAAACTATCCCAGTGATTTAGCTTTAATCAAATTAAGTGATCCAGTGGAATTAGCCGATGGACTAGTGCGAGAAGTGTGTCTTCCTTCAGCCTCAGATGAAGTTGTAGGCGACTGCTGGGTGACGGGTTGGGGAGTAACATTACGTAAGTAACAGCTTAACTCTAAATGGTTATTGTGAGAAGCCTACTCATTATTTTTTGACAACGCAAAAGCATGACACTTTACTTGATAGTATGCTGAAGTGTTAAATGTCGTAATCAGTGACATTTGATTGTGTGAGAAAGAATAACATAGCACATGTTGTTTGATAGTGCCAGGCCGATTGACACCATATCAGTTGACTTGAAAGTGTCCGAAAGCATGAAATTGTACTTGATGAGTTGATAATCTCAGAAAGACCTAAATTGTATTTATTTCTGAAATAGTAACTAGGCCCTATGTTGCTTTGACAATGATATGTATTTAGAAAGACTAAACGTGTATCTTAGGTCTTTTTGATATTGTTACAAAAACTAAATTGTAAATCATGTTGTCTTGACATTACTCGAATGACTGACTGAAATTGTGACTATGGTTGTTTCTATGTTGCTAGATTGACTGACTGACTGAAATTGTGACTATGGTTGTTTCTATGTTGGTAAATTGACTGACTGACTGAAATTGTGACTATGGTTGTTTCTATGATGCTAGATTGACTGACTGACTGAAATTGTGACTATGGTTGTTTCTATGATGCTAGATTGACTGACTGACTGAAATTGTGACTATGGTTGTTTCTATGATGCTAGATTGACTGACTGACTGAAATTGTGACTATGGTTGTTTCTATGATGCTAGATTGACTGACTGACTGAAATTGTGACTATGGTTGTTTATATGATGCTAAATTGAATGACTGACTGAAATTGTGACTATGGTTGTTTCTATGATGCTAGATTGACTGACTGACTGAAACTGTGACTATGGTTGTTTATATGATGCTAAATTGCATGACTGACTGAAATTGTAACTATGGTTGTTTCTATGATGCTAGATTGACTGACTGACTGAAATTGTGACTATGGTTGTTTATATGATGCTAAATTGAATGACTGACTGAAATTGTGACTATGGTTGTTTCTATGATGCTAGATTGACTGACTGACTGAAACTGTGACTATGGTTGTTTATATGATGCTAAATTGAATGACTGACTGACTGAAATTGTAACTATGGTTGTTTCTATGATACTAGATTGAATGAATGACTGAAATTGTGACTATGGTTGTTTCTATGATGCCTGAATAGCTGACTGCCATGTTACATTACAAAATTTATCCGTTATCAGAACGGTTCTTAGAAAAGAACGGATGAATTTTGTGTGATGTAAACGGCCGAGCGGCGTTCTGAGAACCGTTCTAATTCTGTTCCACCTTCAGGACGGAACGGGATCGATAAATTGGTGTAATGTAGACGGTAACAGTTTCGACAACGCTTTACTGCGTATGCCTAACGCATGCCTTCACATTGAGTTTACTGTATTGTAAATAGGCACATTTAATGCCGGCCTAGTCCGGACCAAGAACGGAACGCTTTGTAGCGGCCTAGTGTAACATGGGCTTATGATTGTTTCTATGATATCAGTATTACTGACTGGCAGAAATTGTGACTATGGTTGTTTCTAGAATGCTTGAATGGCTGACTGAAATTGTGACTATGGTTGTTTCTTTAATGCTAGAATGACTGACTAACTGAAATTGTGACTATGGTTGTTTCTTCAATGCTAGAATGACTGACTGAAATTGTGACTATGATTGTTTCTATAATGCTAGAATGATTAACTGACTGAAATTGTGACCATGATGAAAGACTGACTGACTGAAATTCTGACTATGGTTTTTTTTATGATACTAGAATGATTTAATGACTGCAATTGTGACCATGATGAATGACTGGCTGACTGAAATTGTGACTATGGTTGTTTCTATGATATTAGAATTATTTACTGACTGAAATTGTGACCATGGTTGTTTCTATGATACTAGAATGATTTACTGACTGAAATTGTGACCGTGATGAATGACTGACTGATTGACTGAAATTGTGACCATGATGAATGACTGACTGACTGAAATTGTGACCATGGTTGTTTCTATGATACTAGAATGATTTACTGACTGAAATTATGACCATGATGAATGACTGACTGACTGAAATTGTGACCACAATGAATGACTGGCTGAAATTGTGACCATGGTTGTTTCTATGATACTAGAATTATTTACTGACTGAAATTGTGACCGTGATGAATGACTGACTGATTGACTGAAATTGTGACCATGATGAATGACTGACTGACTGAATTTGTGACCACGATGAATGACTGGCTGAAATTGTGACCATGGTTGTTTCTATGATACTAGAATGATTTACTGACTGAAATTTTTACTATGTTTCTCTGATGCTAAAATGACTGTCTGGAATTGTTACTATGGTTGTGTCTACAGTGCTAGAATGACTGACTGAAATTGTGACTGTGGTTGTTTCTATAATGCTAGAATAAATGACTGCCTGAAATTGTGACTATGGTGAATGACGGACTGACTGAAATTGTTACTATGATTGTTTCTGTTAGAATGATTGACTGGTTGAAAATAATGCTGACAAATTGATAAGCAACTATGGCTGCCTTAAAATTGCCAGAAAGATCGACTAAAGCTGCTGTTTTGATAGTGCTAACAGGACTGAAAAAGTAACTTTTGTTGCTTAAAAGATGGTAGAGTCTTGACATTATAATAGTGTATTTCATTCAATTGTTTTTTTTAGAGGATGACGGTGATTATTTACAAGAATTAAAAAGTGATGTGGTAAATAACACCCACTGTAAAGATTTATGGCATGGTTATATTCGAGATGATCATGTTTGTGTCGGATTGGGTAATACTGGTGCTTGTAGGGTGAGTACACAATATTAGCTTTATTTACTGACCGTTGCCCATATATCTTGTTCTTGATGAAATGTTGTTTTTCCCATCATAAGATCATGGGTAGTTTTTCTTATTCTAATTATACCGAGATGAATATAATGAACTCTAGTAGCAATAAAAGATCCTAAAAAAACATTATTATCAAAAAAAGGATGCGTAATTGATAATACCAACTGTGTACTGAACTATGGAACTTTGAGCATTTGAATATATTTACAGGGTGATTCTGGTGGTCCTTTGGTCTGTAGAAAGAATGGAAGATATCAGCTTGCAGGAATAACATCATGGGGAGAGGAAACATGCACAAAGAAAGGCTATCCAAATATCTTCACTAGAGTATCGTCATTCGTTGATTGGATCAAACATACTATAAGAGCGTATTCCACTAATTAATATAGCCAGTTAGAATTATTTATTCTATAATACCACTATTGGAATACAGAAAAAATGTTATTCATTGTAGTAAAGGTCGAATTTTATTATCATGGTAAATTATACCATAGAACTCCTGTTTTCGGACAAAATCTTAGCTATAACTGCATTTAATTCACTTACTTCAGTACTTAGAGTATATACCATTATATACTTATGGATTAGGATATTTTATTGGTTACCAGTTTCATGTCAAACTGGAAGACTGAAAAAGGATTTAACTTAAATCGAATATAAAGCAAAAAGGCATGACAATAACTGCACTCTAGTAGATGAGTAACTATTTTTCTGTATTCCAATATAATGTTTCGCATAATAAAACTCGGTGATGATGTTACAAAACTGATGATTACAAAAATATATATTGATTAACTGTGGGTTTGTTTGTACTGTTCAACGGGTACATCAATACCTCGTTCTGTACAGTCAGTCTACTTAACTTCCATAATCTGAGAAACAACGAGACGTTTGGGATATGTGTGTATTCTAGAAACTAGATGTCGGTTACATTATTGCTTGATATTTGATGGCTTTCTGGAACTTTTTAAAATCATGTTTCAGTTTGCTAATTTTTAGTCGTGGAAGGGAACTCAGGTCAATTGAATTGCAACTGACAGAAACTGGATTTTCAAAGTCAGCGATTGTCGGCATTTGAGAGGATCAGATCAGTCGCTGGATTTATTCAGTTGGAAAAATCACAGTTGCCACGTGTTGCACATTTTATGTTTTATACTTCTTTCGTTTCTCCGTTTCGTTTATATGTATCGTGTCCCAAAGAAAAAACGTCAAAGTTCAACAGGTAGTATCGCAGCTCTTGGTAGAATGATCTCTTTCAAAATTCTCAGATAAACTTCAAGAAGTCCAATGTAATCCAATTGGATTATGCTTTGGGATTCTCTGAAGGAAAAGGTGTACCGGAGTCAGCGGGACAAACTGACTGAACAGGAACTGAAAGGCAGGATAGTCACTTCTTGGCAGCAGATACCTTTAGATGAGATCCGTAACAGCATATCCAGATAGAAAAAAACGGTTTCGATCGGTGGTCGAAGAAGATGGAGGGCACACTGACGTTTTTTTTTTTAAGTCACCCGATATATGTTATTTTTACATACCAATAGCGAATGTAAAACCTTGAAAGTATGTCAACAACGGATAGGCCTATAGTTCTCCAAAACTGTTGCGTTGAAAATAAGTGACAAGTTTGTCCCATTTTCTTGTGAAGTTTTAAAACATTCCAATACATTCTCAATTAAAATAAAACTTATTTTAAAACTAAAGACTATTTCTTTTATTGAAGTGCGAGCAGCGTCCATTCTAACCCCGTCTCTATCTGGCAGATATATGGTGGAATAAACAAATTGTAAGGTCGATTATGGCTGCATTATGACTAGCCTACATAACACTACTAAATGAAGCCTTCTTGACAACTTCTGATGGAGATCAAGGGAGGTAATCGAGGTTATTATTTTAGAATTTAAGGGAGGCCACTGAAACTAGTTCCACTGATTCCAAAGTCATTTTCTCGTGTATCAATGGTTCACGTGATATATATAATAAGTACGAGCAGCTAACCTTAAGATAGTGGACCACAGCTATATACGCCCACCACGGCATGCGGATGGTAAATATTCAAGATTTTGGGGCAAGGGCAATAACTCTGCTTCTAACCGTCGAAAATAGCTTAAATTCGAACTTGATCTTCGTATTATGAATATGTATACACAAACCGAATTTCATTTGATTCCGTCAAAAAATCTAGTTTTTAGATCGTTTACAAGCAAATAGTGACGAACTGACGGACGGACGGACCTTCGTTTCATGAATTATGCACATACCGAATTTCATTTGATTCCTTCAAACACTATAGTTTTTAGAGTGTTTACGAGCAATTGATGTTGATAGAAGCACTTACTGTATAGAGGTTAAAGGGCGATAACTCCTCAAAACTGACGTAAGAGGCCTAAATCTTGAAAAAGCCTTAAATTTGATCAGAAGTAAAGTAAACTTTCTCAAACTTTTCGATTTAGGTCCAATAACATCCATTTTAAGTTTCATCAAAATCGGTAGAGAGAGTAATAGTATATTCAAGATTTTGGGGCAAGGGCAATAACTCTGCTTCAAACGGTCGAAAATAGCTCAAATTCGAACTTGATCTTCGTTTTATGAATACGTATACAAATACTGAATTCCATCAAAAAATCTAGTTTTTAGAGCGTTTACAAGCAAATGTTGACGGACCGACGGACAGACAGAGGTGCCGACAATATACGTCCACATAGAGAGATGTGGGCGTATAAAAATTGTTATCGTTGTTGTAAAAAAATAATAAGTGATTGTCTTTATAAATAAGAGATGGGGAAATGGACAATATTGTAGTCTAAGGGAGATAACTCTATTTAAGCCATTGAAGATACCTACAATTAACTATTTGTAAATTGTATTGTGATTGTATTCTGATGTTAATTACAGCGAAAATTCCGATTCGGATGCGCGTACTTCAATGAAATAGTGAATACCCTAATGGACATGACTGCACCGGACTACAATGAATTGTGATCAAACTAAATATCTTGCAGTGTGCCTTGAATTGCATGTTTAGCAGCATTGGCCATTATCCTGCACAACTTGGTATGTTTTTCATGTCATCCCTTCCATAGTGGAGCTCAAGGTTGAAATATCCTAAGATATAATCTTGGCCAATGTCGGGCATTTAAAAATAAGGTAAAAGTTAATATTGAATACAAATTTTATTCAACCTATAGGAGAGTGACAAACATAAACAGTGCATGGAACTAGCAAATTCAAACCATAAACAAGGATATAGGGCAATGGAACATCATTATATATATTAGCACTATATGATGCCAGTTAAGGGTGAACTTAAGGAAGGTACCCGAACCATACGATAACAAATTATAACAGCAAAAGCAACAAGATAGATTAACAGGAGATTATAACAAATAAGCAATGGCACATATACAATAATTACATTTTTATCATATTTTCATTTTGCATGATCAATTCAATATTATTTTCAAATCCAAACATCAAAATGTCATAAAATGAGTTCAATCAAATCATACCAATGAATGATAAGGTACAACATGATATTTGTTTTATTTTATTTTTATAACTATCGTAATTTCCATAAATATTAGAATTTTTAATTGAATGCACACAAAAAGAATACAGACTGGATCTTTAACACAAATTAAAAAAACAAATCAAAATTATTGGGAGAATAGTCTCAATGACATGTCATTTGAACTCATTAATTACTTCAGTTTCTCCAACTACAAAATTGCAGTACTATCAGTAGTCTCTCTAATTTGCCTGATATTTAAGGCTTAAAAACTCAAAGTGAAGGTAGATGTAGATTTGAAAAGTTTCCATGCACAAAAGCTACTGTATATAACAAAGTGTTGACATCTAACACGGTTACTTATAAATTATATCAAGTAACTAAACAGTTTATATTCTAGTGGTAATGAACTTAAAATCACTTCTAGAATTCTATTTCATACTAAGACTAGTAAACAATAACTGAATATTATTAATGCCGGAGTCCCAAAAAAGGAATTTTTTTCTTAGATATTTTGAACCCAAATATTTAAAACAGTTTTAACTTCTATAATTGATTTGACACATAAATATTTAACTGCTCTATCACAAAAAAAATACCTAAATAGTTTTAGTAAGATACCAACTAAGATTAAGCCATTAATTTGTTCAAAATCTGACCACAACAACTAAATAAACTGCAGCAATAATTTAAGCCAGTGGGTTTCGGAATTTTTCTCCAGCATAGACAGCATCTGCACCTAGTTCTTCTTCAATACGTAATAGCTGGTTGTATTTGGCTAATCTTTCTGATCGACATGGTGCTCCTGTTTTAATCTAAATAATATAACAATACAACATTATTTACTTTCTTCAATATATATATATATATATATATATATATATAGACAATCTGGTACATGAATTTAGGATTATTTTTACCAAGCTCATGAATCTATATCACTTTATATAATCAATTTCTAACATTGTGTTATTTGAAAACTTGTAAGGCAAGTAAGAAAATATAAAGACAACTGTATATTTCATCGTAATCAAGATTGAAAAAGAAGAATAGTAACACACCTGTCCTGTACACAAACCAACAACAAGATCAGCTATAAAGGAATCTTCTGTTTCACCACTACGATGTGACACCATTACTGACCAGCCAGCTCCTTGTGCCATTTTACATCTACAGAATAAATTTATCTAATAAAACATAAACCACGTGCAAATTTTTTCGATGTGAAAGGATACAGAACATAATAATAAAACCTTGAATAACTAGAAAATAATAATTAATCTTCAAATACACAACCCCATTATTAAACACAGAAATTCACATTTAAATTGGAAGAGGTAGTTTGAGGTATCCACCATATAACCAGACTTATTTTAAGAAAAATCATCTAATAAGGCTAGACTGAATATAAAATAGCATACTTACGCTTTGATAGCTTCTGTCACAGTACCAATTTGATTGACTTTTAATAATAAACTGTTACAAGCTTTCAGGTCAATACCTTTCTGTACACGGGTTGGGTTGGTAACCAATAAATCATCACTAGATAGAGAGATACAAGACTCTATATTTACAAATTATCATATTGATGTACATAATCATAGTTTAGATATGGCTCACCTAAATCTTTAGAAGACACTGTTCATTGATCATAGTTTACAAAACTTACATTGCTGATTTCATGACTTTCTCCTAATACTGTAACCTTTTTTTTTAAAGGGGCTCTTATACATTTGGCCTTGTTGCCTCAAAAAAGATAGTGGATCAAATCAAAACATGCTCACTTTGGCATGAAGTTGGTGAAATAAGAAACTTCCATGAATTTTTATACAAATCAGTTAAAGAGTCACAAGGGTTGAATATTATCGCACACTACAAAACTCAATTTTTTAGAAATTAAATATTTACATTACATCTACAGAGATGGGATTCTAATATTAAATCTTAAATAAATAATACCTAAATAAAAAAATATATTCTGAACCTACCCCATAATTTGGATATCAGTAGAAGCTGTAAATTTAGTATAACCCTCCCAGTCATCTTGGTCAAAGGGATCTTCAATAGATACGATAGGATATTCTTTGATGAATGTACGGTATAAATCAGCAAGTTGGTCTGGAGAAAGCTGTAATGAAATTAAAAATAAAAATAAAATAAGAATAAGCAATTCAGGTGGTATAACTGCTAACTATCTTACAGTATACACGTGAGCAATATGGAAATTGAGTAGGAAGGTTTTTCCAGACTGAGCTAATAAAGACAAGTTACATCATGCAGAGTTCAATAATAAATATTTTGTCAGCAGCAATAGTCTTCTATTTTTAGATGTCAAGGGTACAGCGAGCACATTTCTACCATGTGTATCCCACCTGCACAATTAGGTTCACCATTATTTACTTGATTCCTGTAACAATATCACACAGAAAAAACATAGGATTTAAAACAAAAAAAAACACATACCCATGATGCTTTATCAGATGCAGGATTTTTGAAGTCTAAATCATATAATTTATCTTTACAGAATTCAGAGGCGGCTGTATCCATACCAATTTTAATTTTACCAGTATAGCCAGCTTTCTCTATAGCTATCTTGATCAATTCTAAACCTATAGATATAAAGATATAACATTTGTTATACAAGTAGAAAACTATCATATGTCCAAAAAAAATTCTGTCATAAAAATAGATTCAGCTTAAAACTAAGGTCAGAAAATAATTATTTTGAACTAAGTAGAGTTGGTGAAGTAACAAATGGCTATTGCTTCAAATTACCCACGTAATCAAATTTGTTAACAGTTTTAACATGAAAGTTACAAAATAACAGCAATGAATGGCATACTCCTTTGCGATTTTTCACCACCAAAAACTTTTTACATGTCATGTATCAATGACATGGTATATGTATATAGCATACCTTCTCTGTTATCTTCAATGCTTGGTGCAAAACCTCCTTCATCACCAACATTACAAGCTAGAAATAAATATATCAAACGCTACTTTGCTGATGTCTTTGTAGATGTACATAACATTCACAAAACAAGATTATCAAAGTTATCAACATTGCTAACAATAATAATCACTCATATGATTCTAGTTTCCTGTCTTAAAGATACATTTTATCAACTAGGCATCTTTTCCACCTAGCTAATATTGGTATATTTATGACACATAAATAGGCCCATGACTCTGTTGGTGGACACATTTATCAAAAGGCATTCACCATTCTCCATTCTATAAGTATTGTGTCCAAAAAATCAAATTTGAGCCCCACTATAATGTACTGTGGTAGGCGTTACTAGTGAGGCGGTAAGTACTCTCTCTTCTGAAACACCAGATGTTACCCTGTGATTGTGTTTGTCAACTGGACATTCATATCCAATACTTGGTATATCCATTAAATTGAATATAACCTACTAACCATCTTGTCCATATTTCTTCTTGATAACAGCTTTAAGATGGTGGTATGTTTCTGTTCCCATTCTCATAGCTTCAGTGAATGACTTGGCACCTATAAACAAGTTACCAAGATATATTCATTACATCCTTTTTAATACATATTCTCTGATTAACATTGCTTGCTTTGGTTTTAGTTTTTCACATGAAGTCCATCTCTACCCTCATTAAGTATCATGACCATCACAGAGAATTGCAGAAAGCAAAATAATATTTTATAACACACATTGAACAGAACAGACTGAGTCATCAGATCCTAGAAACACTTACCAAGTGGAAGAATCATAAATTCTTGCATAGCCAATTTATTACCAGCATGGCTTCCACCATTGATGACATTAAAAGAAGGTACAGGTAAAATGACTTTAGGGTTACCAGCTAGGTCAGCAATATGTTTATATAAAGGAACTCCCTAAAAGACAAATCAAAGCAGTGCTTTATATCTCTACATAACATTTTTGAACACAATATTCTGAAATAGACTGATTATCGTACAAATTGCCTTATATCAAGAATCATTTACTCAGTCAAGTTTCCAAATAAAATGAATAATAAAAGTTTACCTTTTGTTTGGCAGCTGCTTTACATATAGCCAAAGAAACACCTAGAACAGCATTGGCTCCTAGAGTTCCTGTAAGAATCATTTCAATTTATATGTTTTTTGAAAAACATTATAATTATGAACCAAATTCAATTTATTATTCATCAATCACAATCTTTAAACTTGAACTATTGTAGACCACCATAAGATAAGCATATATATTAAGATAATAATCTTACCCTTGTTGTCAGATCCATCTAAATCAATCATCATTTGATCTACAGCTGTTTGGTTGGTGATGTCGGGTTGCTGAAAAAATAAATTCAATACCAAGTTTAAATACTTCATTATCTGTAAAAGTCCAGTCAATGTCATTTACCTTCTTACATGTGCATACATTAATAGTCTAAAGAATGTCTATGAACACTACTTCGTAAATCAATTCAACTGTGAACTACAATTAAAACTTTAATGAAAAGAAAGTATCTGAATTTTTTTCTCCCAAAAGTCTATAATGTCTTCCTACCTTCTCTAATAATAAAGGTGCAATTCTGGAGTTGACATTATCAACAGCTTTGCTAACACCTTTACCATGATAAGCTTTAGGGTCTTTATCTCTTAATTCTATAGCTTCATAAATACCAGTTGATGCTCCACTAGGTACTGCAGCTCGGAATAGTCCTACAAAACAATAACCCTAACCAGTACTGTGTAATATCTTATAAACATCCTGTGATTGGATGTATTGATATTGTAAACAACATAAAATGAAATATTTATTGAGATTGCCAAGATATAGATATAATTCTTACTCTCATCTAGCTAGCATGCTAAGGAACAGTGAAATCAGATCTTAATCTTGTCTGTGTGTTGGTTAATTCAAGCAATTAAAAGATCATTAAGTATAAGCTTAATGTGTAGATGATTGAGTATGAACATTAAATAAAATGTACCAACTTACCATTCTCTGTATAGAGATCAACTTCTACTGTTGGATTACCTCTACTGTCAAAAATTTGACGAGCTTTGATGGACTTGATTGGCATTTTAGCTAGATTCTGAAAAAAAAAAGATGTGAGCAATAAGTAAAATAGAAAAAAAAAACATTTTTTTAATTCATCTATTTTCTGTATCAAAAATATTTCAAAATGATCAGAAAACATCAACAAAACAATGGCTCCCTAATCAGACCTTTATCAGCATTGGCAAGAAATAACCATCAGCTAATCAATAGTCTTGGTGATTAAGTTATCAAGATGTATTAATAGGCACCACGTAATGCAGGTACGTTATAATCATATAGCACAATAGATGGTAAAATCAGCTGTTTTAGAGATTCTGCCAATTGCAAATAGCTTATAGTAACATACTGAACAGATGCCAAAACTTTCTTTCAGTAGAGTGGTAAAAACAATTAATGACACTATTAGTCTACTTAACAATAAAAACCAAAATTTGTAATATCGTTACTAAGCCAATAATGCTGATCTTGCAAAATCTAATAACAGGATGGTAGAATTTCTGATTGTAAAGCACAACATGATAATTTTCACCTGGAGTCAGCACCACCAGATTATTAATTTAGCAATATTTTTCTATACATACATGTACCGTACATTTACTAACATTGTGACTTTACATTTTTTTCACCCTAACACCATGTACAATATGTTGGCGAGACTCAAAATGCGCTTCGACCGTGATTCAATGGCCATCGCTATGATATAGTGCATGGCAAGGATAGACCAATTGCGAATCACTTCAACCTTCCCGATCATTCCATTGATGACCTTCTCATCATACCTATAAAAACAGTTTCTACATCACCTAGCATCAAACCTAAGCTTAGACATCTACAACGCGAAAGTTATTGGATCGATCAACTGCAGATTGTGAGGCCAAATGAACTCAACATTCAACATGATAACCAGATAATACCCTTTATAACGACATTTGATTCTACAGCTACCAAAGCCTCCATAATAGTCAAACGCCATTACTCGGAACTTCAGAACAAATTTCCCCATGTATACACAAAACGTTTGGTTGTAGCTTACAAAAGAAATCAAAATCTTAGCAATTTCCTCTTTCATGGTAGACCCGAACCATTGAACAATGTCCATTCATCCTAGGAGCATAGATTTCTTAATATAAATGTATCATGTTCTATCAATAAATTAATCGATTTCTAAGTTAAATTTCAGGGAATACTTATTTCAGGACTGGTGCCATGGCTATATACAGTATATTATATAACATGCAGTGTATGTTTGTGTGTGTGTCTTTTCAACTAATATAAGGAGTCAACACCGAATTTCGTCAAAGCTAAAAAAACAGAAATTTTTTTTTAAGTCTAAGATGTTACAACAGATATTCCACAAAATAATTAAAATTGGTTTGTTTCGATTTTCTTTATGAATCCCTCACTTTGACCAATATTTCATGAGCAACCAACTCGGCAACGGCGGCAGAATGCGTAACCTATTTTCGTGTACAATGTTTGATCTTGTAAGTCTAGAAAAACATGTGGTATGGATACCCAGTAGAGTAGTATAATTAACTTCTCTTAGTATTTATTTTTAATATCAATTCACTATAACTAGTGACAATTCCTTCAAAGAACCATGATTTAAAAAAAAAATAGTGACTGACAAAATAAGATATGCAGCGTGATTTATTGCTATAAGTCATTGAAACAACATAAGAATATGGCCATATTGTGTTCCATAGAATTTTTCTGCTGATACAGAATGCGCTAGTTGATCATGTGTCTTCATTCTTAAAATGACTACACTCTAGCAGACGATACTTGGAATTCCGATTGCAGCTGGGGATTATAAGGAAATTGGGCTGATAAAAAAATGGTGACGTTTGGTAATACCGTAACTGAAATCCGCCATTTTGTATTTGTCAAAGGATACATTAATACATTTTACCTTGCTTGAAACTAATGGATTCATTCTACTAGCTGACATTGTAGAGATAACCTATGTTTATTGCACATGGAAATTATTTATCCTTTCTGGAAATGCACGAAAAATAGGTTAGCACGAAATTAGGTTACTTGACTGTACTATTATATGATGAAGTGCAGTACAACAACAGGAACAGGGTGTTCAGTAAACTCAGCAACAGTAAACTCGTCAACAACTGAGTTAACTCGTCTACAACCTTGAGTTAACACATCTACAACCTCGAGTTAACTTGTCTACAACCTCAAGTTATCTCGTCAACACTTAGGTCTATAACATTGAGTAAACTAGTGGAGGCCCAATTATAAAAATAGTATTATGCCTACAGTTGTCCTTTCCATCCTATTTAACCTTTTAAATCATGCGACCCGTGCATGATGCGATATCTGTGAACTGTATAATAAAAATTTATACCATCAATAATGACTTTCTCAGCATAAAAAATAAAAATTACTTATTTTTGACATTTAATAAGTCATTGATTCACTTCTTGATCAATAGCCTAAATAAGATTTCAATTTCAACTATTATAAGTGCACACCAAACACAATCATATAAATCATGCAAAAGATAAATAATCAATAGTCATTAACTGAAAATAAATAAGAATATTTAAAATGCAATCTTACAGAAATAAACCTCTTTATCTTGAAGATTCAACCCGGCACCTTCCGACAAATCAAAACGACCTTGGATAAGAGACCTTGACCGAGACCTTCACCTCGAGTTTCACGTGGTAGACTGCAGCTCATTATTTTGAACAGTTTATTTCAAAAATGTCCTGTTCGAGTTTTTTTTCAAAGATATGCATTCAAATCTCAAGAAGGGAGTGCAGTTTAATGAGGGGTGTTTGAAATGGCTGTAAACCAGTTTTTAGTTTACAATTTTAAAGGGCTAATGAGCAAAAAAGAATGTGGCACACATCTATTTCCGGTTTGGTGAATCGCCACCTACAGGAAGTAAGGAAGATAAATATGAAAGGAGGTGTCTCTGTCACTGAAAACTCATAATCGAATAACAGACCTGTTTGCAGACGAATTTTAAACAGTATGGTCTAAAATTAATAATTCAAAGCAGACAGTTGGTTTCCCACTGACCCACAAATATGAAATATTCAGTAGATTTCAAGGAATGTCTCAAGGATTCTCCCAAATTTAGGTAACAGTAACTATTCTATAAATATTGGAATTTTCATTGCATCAAGCAAACAAAATGTCAATGAATGATTTGTTAATGACTTTTGAATGAATCATCATCGATAATTGATCAAGCATTTAGAAAATAATAGGATAATAGATATTTAGTCAAGACATTTATCATTGAAAATAGCATTTGCAGATAAACATGTGTGAATGAGAAATGAGATTAAAAACAAAAAAAAGCACTGTCTTATTAATTATCATGACATTAGATCTAGTATTAATTTTAATATTGTTTTGTTTATATATGTTTTCATTGAAAATCAAAGATGCAAAGTGATTAATTTGGTGTAGTTTGGGATCTATCTTTGATCCGAGTTGTCTGATTCCTTATCTTTGAGATTGTTTTATGAGCCCTGTTTGATTCCTGCATTAAATCTTTTAAAACACATAAAAGTAGTAATTTGAATATGATGTGAGACACATATTTTTGACTTGCATCTCCTTGCATCTCCTTGCCAAAGTGTATTCAGCAGGTTTTAGAATTGAATTTTTTTCTATACCGTACATTGTAGGCCTTTCAATCTAAATCAAATCGTATCTATTATTAAATTACTAAATATTGATAACCATTTATTAATTCACATATTTCATTATTGTTTTCTGTATTGTGTCTTTTCTTTGTATCAGGTGCCGAATTAGCATAAGCTTCGACTTGTTTCCGAAACCTCACTTATTTTCTGTAAAATATTTATTTAATATAGAAATAAAATATTGTTTAAGTCAAATTGAAAAGCAACTAATCAAGATTATAAATAAATAGAACATAGATAAACAGAAAATTTAAAAAAAAGGCATTGGTGAATGGAACATTTTGTATTTCAGGGCCTCACTTGAAGATGCTGAAGCTGATATTGAAGCTCTTGAAACAAAGTTAGAAAAGGTCAGTATATAAACTTTGAAAGATCTGTCGGAATGATATGAAAAAAAACTGAATTAACAATCTAACAATCAACCTTATTTGATATAAAATGATGGTGAAACAGTAAGGAAATAAGTTTGTGAAAAGCTTCTAGATATAATATAAAAGACTGTGTATGTAATATTTAGTTAAGCCAATCCTAATAGAGTTGAGTAGGCTACTTGATAACTAGTACATAATAATAACTAATACAGGGTATGTGATGATACTTTATATGTGATTCATTATAATATCATATCCTATTTCAATTATCACTTATTGACCAATGATGGACTAAAGGAAACTATCAGCAAATTATTAAGGATTTTACCCAGTTGTACTTAATACATCATTAAATATCGCCTTTTCAAGATATCTGAAGGCTTTAAAAAGGAAATAAGTGTCTAAATATAAACTATTTGGGTTGCTCTTGCATATTTTACAACAGAAATTGAATGAAGACCTCTAGTGTTTGCTACTGTGGCCAAGATCAACAATTTTTAATTGTAAAAAAAAGAAAGTAATAAGTAAAGTTGAAGTAAGGCTCTATTAACTATGAAAGCAATGTTTTGAATAATACTATCCTCAAAAAAAAATTCATTAACCCACTCAATTCTTATTTGTAATTGGCAATTTTATTAGCACCAAGAATTTCTTTGGGTTTCTTTAGTGAAATCTTCAGATTGTTACTTTAAGCTTATATCAGTTTTGATGGATTTCTCTAAAAGCTATGGCCTAATTTGGCACTTTTAAAGATTAGTTCAATTTCCTGTTTTTATAGAATGTACGTGAATGGGAAATGTTAATCATATGTAATCTTAAAAGAGCACAAGATTCCTTGTTATAAAGTTCTCTAAAAATATCCTTTTTTATATCCCTATCTGATGTTAAGAGATATAGTAATACATTATATTGACATATAAAGCTCTATTGTGTTGTAAAGAGAATTTAAAATATCATTTTCAACCTTATGAAAGCATTGCCATGTACTATAACTAGTGGATTAAAGTTATGCTTAGACAATCTTTATATTATTAATAAAAGTAGGCATGTTACTTGCTTTCCAAAAAAAAAAAACAGATTTGCATTAAAGGTTGAGGTTATAAAGGTTATGTTAGTAAAAAGACTTTTTTTTTGCTCTTATGCTTGTTTCAATTGATTAAATTTCCCAGTTGAAATCTCTACAATTGAAATCATACAGTTAAAAATAATAAAGAAAGAACACACAATTATAATCATTAAAACAACATGTTGATATATAAACTGAATTATAAATACTTTATATTTGAATTGTTTTTTTTTTTTTAATAAAATGAAGGAAATTAGAGTAATCTGTCATCTATTATTACTTGTAATTGAGTTGGTATTTCAAATATTGCCCAAAGATACTGTATAAAGCTGTAGGCCATTATGACCTATTTGTAAAACTTGTACAGAATTATTCATAGTCTTGTCAATGCTGATTCTTGCCAAAAGTCTCTTTTGACCAAATTATTCTTGTGAAAACATAGATTATGAACTTTATGGGACTAATTTAGTTGGGTGTTTGCCTTTTAGTATTTTTTAGAAAAATTAATGTGCAAGTATTCAACTTGCTGATATGGAATAATCAATATTTAATTAGTTACACACAAACCTGTTGTCAGATTTTAATTTTTAAAAGTGATTACTTATATTACATTGTATCAGGGAAAAATTACGTCATTAAATTAACAAATTAATTAGAAAGGCCTCTTGTCACTCATCTAGAGCAATTTGATATTTAATCTTGTTCATCATTTAATCTAATGGTCATGTACATGTATTATGTTCATGATAAGGTATACCCCTACTGAATCTATATTATGTTAGTGTGACCTGGTAAATTATTGCTTTCCTCTCGATTTGATGTTGAATTCACATTGATGGTGTGCTAGGGATGCAAGGTTGACAAACCCTACCTCAAAATAGTATCAGTTGTTCTAGTAAATATGCTCTACTTAAAGATATACATGTATATTAAAGCTGATAACTATAAAGGAAAATATCAGATTTTCAGCAGTAACAAAGCATATACTGATGTGCAACTTGTACCAAGATGATAACTTAATTTGGCCCAATGATAGTTGGACAATAATCAAATAATCTAACAATCAAAGCAAACAGAGAGTGTAACAAAATAGATGTCTTTATGTAAAAAAATCCTACCCTAAATCGTGTTCATTTCTACCTTTATTACCTGATGTACCTATATCAGAAAATCATTAGTTAATTTTGTCTTCTATTGGATATGTCCCATGTCTTCAATATTTATGAAGGAATAATGAAAAAGCCAATATTAAAACGTGATGTTTTATAATATGCATGTTAGATCAAGCTGTTTACTGTAAGGTCAGATATAAGCTTAGATTATCTAGATTGGCAGTGATATTTTGATTGTATTTCAATCATTTCAAAAACGTTGTGAATATATCAATGAATTAAGTCAAAGATTTATTTTTCAGCTTGTTAAGTTATGTAATGTTATGATTGAAACAGGAAAAGCATTTAACAATGCTAATAGGTAAGTCCTCCATTTTCCTTGTATTAGGTATAGATATATAGTTGTCATAATAATGGCTGTACTGACTAGTGTTGAAACAGTTAGTGAACTTTACAAACCGGGTAATCGTCAGCAATAACCGTTTTGTTACCCTGTTTAATCCCGGTTAATTACTAAAGATTATAAAAGGAGTCAAAAACCACATTTGAGGCGGTAACTCACCGTTAACTAAACAAGTGTAAATGAGTACCCAGGAAGATTTTGGCTAGTTCCATGCGAATTGTCGGTACAAATCGACAGATACCAAACAACCCGCTTCAATGTAAGAATACGAGCGGGCCTGACAAGAGTTCAGACGGACTGGTGCAATTGTCACTCATTGCTACAGTCTCTAACAGATCAAAGGTTTTTTTTGTGGGGTCAGTGTAATGAGTGTATCTCATTGAAGTCGTCGCGAATCAGTGTACAGGTTCCACAATTGGTATAAAACTATCGTCTCAATGAATCCGTACTCATGAATATTAATAAGCTTGAAGCTGATTGACAGGCAAGAAGAAACAAACAGCTAATTACAGGAGATTTACTAAAAAGTAATACGACCTTTATTACTGTTTTATTCTAAGCAACTCGTACCGATTGAAATAATAAAAATAATAACAAAACTTATTAATACACTAGAACATGCTTAAAAAACACTGTGTACATTTGCGCAAATAATGACAAGATTCAACGAACCGTGGCGCGTGCAGAACGTCTGATAATAATTACAGTGCTTATTTGTTTGTTTTACCTGTGAAATACTACCCAAAATCGGTTAACTGATTAACCGTTTCAACACTAGTACTGACTAATTAAAGATTATTTTCTTGGCAGTCAAAACTTCGCCATCTTGATTGAAATTAGGGTGATTACCTCGAGTCATGCTGCAATATCAAAAGATAAATAAAGGTATAGCTTTGTTAGTCTTCGTTGAATCAATTTTCATTTCCTTCATGGCTATTCCCTTTAGATAATACCCAATATTTCACCCGGTGATTCAGTGACGCAGTTTAGATCAGGATAGACACTGATTGTAGACAAAGAAGACAATAAACCCAGACCTGGTAGACTAATGCCACTGTCCTGCCAAATTTCCTCAGTGCACACCAGTCCCTACGTGTGACCTAGGCAAGTGCTTGTATAAGAGAGTATCTCTTATAAAACCTTATACCAGATAGCAACTGCTGTCTTCATTAACCGAATTGGGAGTAGAAATGTAGGATATTAACCTTACCTGAATGCTATAACATTTTTATTTTATATTATAGTGGTTTTATATATGGTATTAGAGATTTGGCCTCCTATTTTCACGATGATAACTTAGTCTCTGTAAGTATATTAGTTATACTATTTTATCAACATGCAGAATTAGTCTTCTATCTTTTGAGTTATGCCCCTTTAATGATAAGTCAACTTTGATCTATATATTTTCAAGAAATTATTGCTTTTTTCCAATTTTTCTAACATGAAATACATCAGGTCTGCATTTAGACTTGCTGTTTTCTTGTTTTTGTCAGTAAATTGAATTTTAGACAATATTTCTATGTGAAATGTGAAAGAAACTAAGATTGACTTGGAGCTGGTGAAAATTCAAACAAGATCTGATAATATTTTTACTAATTGTCTATTCTATCAATGCATTCCAAGACTATCATTAGAACTTTTAAATTGATATTCAAATTTAATATAATGAAAATCAGTAAAACTCAATTTACAACCAAAGGTAATTGTAACCTTGACATAAGATTAGTTTTGCCTAATTTTAGAGTTTAAATGAAATGCAATTCCAATGTTCCAGCTTTCAAATTAGTCTACAATTTCCAACATTTTTTTTGCTTATTTACCAGGACATATTTTTTATTTAACCCTATTAGTTGTTCATGTATTAAATGTTATCATTTATAATTTTGGTAGAGTGACAATAATAAAGTGTCTGTAAGTAATCTTATTATTATGATTATTTTTGTCCTAAAGTATGGTTAGTAGATAGTAGAATGGAGTGTGTTCCTATAATTTTGTTGCTTGTGTTATAGATTTCAATGCATATTAGTTAACTTATTCAAATCTATTTTGTAGCTGCACTGGCTGTGTCAAAACTATTTGGTATTTGTGAAGTGGTTGTTACAAAATGACATCTCATTTTTAACATCATTAGCTTTAACTTGGTTAACTTTAAGCTCTGATCATAATAAGTGTCATTGTTTACAAGTGTTCTAACCCTAACTCTTTGTAGCGAATTTTCTGATTGAGAATATTGAATTTACTAAAGTCAACTGACAGTAAGAAAATATACTATTTTACTCAATGTAAATATTACAATATTCTTATTTAAACCAAACTCAATATTTTAACTTATTATGTGCTCTGCTCAGCTTAATGTCAGAGATTACTAGTATGCATTGCTATCTAGGTGAAAGGCATAAAACTGATGTACCGGGTAGATAACAGGCATTTTTATTAATTGAAACTGTTTTGTGAACATCACAATTAGGATTATAGACTTAGGTGGATGAGAATATTGTGATAAAGGCTGATATTGCATTTTTGAGAATGGCTTAATTTATTATTGCCTGTTTCCAGTTACTTTCAGTCCTCCAATATCTACAATCCATAGTAGTTAATTCTTACTTTTCCTATCCAAAATAGGAATACTCTTACTATGGCACTATTCCTAACTTCAAACCAGCACTGAATCATAAATCTGAACTTTCAAATACATTTCCTATCTTTTATTGTTACTGGAGGTTTATAAAACATTCAACAAGTTGGACAGAAACATTAAACTTTACAAATATTCATTTTCAAAGATTGATTATTGAAATACTATAACTATATTTGTGTGTGTGACAATATGGGGGAATTGGTTGGTGAAGTGAATGTAATAGATCTTAATTAAGCCTATAAAAAGTAGATTAAAAGTGGTTGAAGGCAAACAGTAACCTTTGGTGTGGATTTTAAGATTTTTGAATTTAGGAGCATATATTTCAGGAATTTTTATGAATGTTCTTAAGATTTTCCGCTCCAATTTAAGTATTGAGCAACTAAGCGTTTGGCTTGATAATTTAATTAATTTTAAGCATGTGTTTGATGACTGATATTAAGTATGTGGCATGCATGGTTGGAAATAGTGTCAGCCATTATGATAACCTTCAGCTGTTTAATGAACTCTTCCAAAGTTATCATTTCAATCTATTCCAATTGGTCTTTCGAAGAGTTGATTTGCAAAATTTGTGTGTCAGGTATATCTAACCTTTTGATCATGTATGTATTTGAAAAGAAATTCAATTGGTCTGAAAATACCATGCAAAAATTTATGCTTATGCCAAAATTCAATCATAAGATTTTGCTGTCAAAACAAGACTTTGAGCATATGAAATCAAATAAAGACTAGAGCCACACGTGGCACAGAATGGGACTTTGCAAATGTAGCAAAATGCAAAAGACTGAAAAAATCAACCTTCTACGATAATTAGATCACCCGCAAGAGCTGTCTAAAGTTGAGAAGAATTCTTTGGAAGATTGTTATAACGGAAGTAGACAGACCTCACAAATGAAAGTATCAGAAGATAGCCAAGGTCAATGACATTTGACATTGAAAGGGAGACGGTCAAAAAAGGTCAAGGTTACGAGATAAAAGTCATCAAAATTTTTAAATATATACGGCTATAAAACCGGAAGTTGAGATAGGACAGCAAATATAAAAGTATAAATAGATAGCCAATGTGAATGACCTTTAATCCTACAAAAATCAGGGTCAAAAAAGGTCAAGGTCAAAAATTGAAAATTTTGAATTTTCAAAAGCTGTTCCTTTTTTTGAACTATAAAGCTGAAACAATCGACCTTCCAAGACAACGTGGCTCAACGGATGAAGTAATTGTATGCAAAGTTCCATTTTGAACAAATGTATACGTTGCGAGTTATGTCCCTTGCCAAAATTGTCAATAATGAGTAATTTAACACGGATGTGCTAGGCCCACCTCAATTTCTTTTGCATAGGTTAATTGATATTCTGAATGTTAAGTTGTGTTCCAAATTTAAAGCTTCTACATCATACAGGTCAAAAGATATAGGTCAACAAGAGTCAATAAAGGTCAAAATAGAAAATTGAAAATATGGAAATTTCAAAACCCGTTCCTTTTTTGGAACTATAAAGCTGGAACGATTGACCTATTTACACAAAGTGGCCAAAATAATGAGGTAATTGTGTGCAAAGTTCCTTTTTGAACAAATGTATCCTATGCGAGTTATGCCCCTTTCTCAAAATGTAAACAATTAGTAATTCAACCTGGATGTGCCACGTCCACCTCAACTTTTGTGTCATAGGTTAATTTATATTCAAATTGTCTTGTTGTGTTCCAAGTTTCAATGTTCTACATAAAATAGGTCATAAGATATATACACACCAAGCTCAAAGAAACAGAAATATTGTAAAAAAAAACTCAAATTTGAAAAATTCACGAATTTCAATTTTGCTTTAAAAAACGATTGTTATAAATTACTTGAAAGAGCATGAAAAGCACATTAAGAATCCGAAAAAATTAACCCTCTAGGTTAATTAGGTCACGTGCTAGAGCAGTCCAAAGTTGCGAATTTGGCTGTTTTCGGACAGCTATAAAACCGGAAGTACATGTCGGAGGTCAAATGTCAAAGTATTAACTGATAGCTAAGGTCAATGACCTTTGACCTTATGAAGGTCAAGGTCATCAAAGTTCACGATCACGAGATATGACCCTTCAAACTTTGAAAAAATTCAACCGGATGTTGCAAAAAAGCAAAATTGAGAATCGAAAAACGGCTTCCTAATGTCATGTTTTTTTTTTATCTTCTTTCATTTGACACCAAAATCATTTAAATCGAATGAGCCATTATGTCTGAATAAAAATCGAATCATTTCAGAAAAATCAAAATGGCGGTAAAAGTTTCACATCTGTTCTGGATTTTTTGTTCTTCGTTTTTTTGTCATAACTTTGTCTACCTATCAGCATAAAAATTTTTGTCCTTTACAAATTACACCGGAAGATATTCAACTGGAAGTGAACATCATTTTCCTGTTTAAACCGGAAGTGAAATTGAAAATTTGACTGTACCATTTTGTTTACATTCTTAAACTGTCTTTGCTCAATTTTTTTCAGATTAATCAGACAAAAAGCAAAAAAAATGAAAAAAATGAAAAAAATGCAAAATTTGGCAAAAAAAATGTCTGCAACAAATTTTCGAATTTTGAAATTTTGAAACTGCTATTCTTTCAGATTTTAACAGTAGATTCCAAAAATGCAAACCCAAAGAAAATCGACCAAAAAATACGACTTCTAGAGCTGATTATCTATTCTTCCATATATTGAACTGTGGCACTTTCGGTTTTGCAAAAAAGATCAAAAAAAAAAAAGAATTGACATTTCGATAACAAACTGGGACTTTGCTGAAAGCAAAGTCCCACAATTAGCGCTGCATTACTCTATAATATTACCAGCTTGCATCATTGCAGCTCCCACCTTATAAGGATATGTGCATTTAAATATTGCTCAACCAGCTGATAATGATTAATTTCAGCTATCTGTATCACTATTCAGAATCAAACTCAGACTACTAGTTACATGTTTAATGATCATAAACATACTGTTAAGAATTAGTCAATTGTTGCTTTCTGGCTATTCTTGATTTCTCAGATATGTGACATGAAATGTGTCATGATCTATATCCACACAGTATTTTTTTTTGTTCAGGGAAGTGTAGGGAAACCACATGCTTGATATTATTAAGTGATACAGATTCTGAATAAATTCTTCAGCTTGTAAGAAAATATTAAGGTGTCTGTATTTCTTACCTTTCTTTTTCCCCTCCCAGTCTCTCTATACAAATTTTACTGAACTCCTAAATCAAACCATGTATAAAATATAGCATGGAATTCCAAAGAATTCTGCATGTTGATTTTCATTTCTGATTTGTTGATGTTTTTGAAATATCATTTTGTTATTTGAAATTTATAAACATTTAACTTGTCTGTTAATTTATGAAACTATTTATAGACTTTACACATTTAACCTTTTTACAAAATGCTCCAATATTCATTTGATTATTGTTTAGAAAGTTACTTGCTTGCTGTCTGACTTGAAGGATTTGGGTCGAATTTCGGCAGAGGTCAAAATATTACTTTGAGATTTATGGGAAATTCTGATGCTTATAATTGTATTGTCATTGAATATATGTGTATGTTTCAGGCCAGTTTAAATAGATTTGCTCACGCTATGAATGAAATGTTAAAATATTTTAGTGTAAGTATACATAAGCTTATATAGTTCAATTAACTTGTTCTGCCTCTTGTGTTTCAATAAGTGCTAATTCTACCACATAACAGATTGCTTTTGTTTATACATGGATAGGACAGACATCTTTGTCTGTAGGAAGGAAAAATGTATAGAGTTGAAAACTTATTTTGGGTTTAGTTATATTTTAGACATGAAGGTATAGTAAAAAAGAATTTGTACTATCACTATTATTGTGTTATTTCCATGATGACTTTCACAGATAATGAAATGAAACTTATTTTTTTCAGATATTAATGGACCAAGCTAATAGATGTGTTTGTAAAAATTTAAATAATTTCATAAAAAAGTAAGTCTTAACATTTGAAAGAGACAAATAATATTTAACTGATAGTATATTTTTGTAAATGACATGTTTTGAATAACCTTCCAAATGGTGATATCACTAAATGATCTAAACAAGCTATCCTGATGTATATTTAGTATTGCCAGCATGCAATGTAATGAGCTCTAGTCAAACAGTAATCAATCGCTTTTAGCATGGAGTTTCTTAGATATATAGTTGATCATTAGTTTTGTATGATTTTTATTTTTAGAGATATAAAGAAGGTGAAAGATGCTAAGAAACATTTTGAAAAAATCAGTGATGATATGGACCAAGCATTAATCAGAAATTCATCAGCTCAAAAATCAAAAACCAGTGAATGTGAAGAAGCTTTAAATGTTTTAACCGCCATGAAATCATGTTTTGCTCATACTTCATTAGATTATGTCTTTCAGGTTAGTTTTTGAATTTTTATCAAATTTAACTCTGCAAAGTTAGTAAAATGGTATAGATTTTGTCATCTTGATTTATAAGCAGCATTTTATTCGTATCACTCAAAATATTATATCTGCCATTGTGCAGCCTACTTCTTCATTCTGTTCGAGTAATAATCTTGCAGACTAAAGCCACTGTCCACTGCATGGTGTTTCCTGTCTCTTTGTAAGTCTAAAGAGGTGGAGAAAAGCAAGATGTAAAACTTTATTTAAGTTTATTTTATTTTATAATTTCAGATTAATGTATTACAGTCTAAGAAAAGATTTGAAGTGTTAGACACTGTAAGTAAACTTACTTCTCTAGAATAATGAAATGTTGGATGAGACAAAGGGAAGGGTTAATAGGTGGTGTGTCATATTTTTAAAAAGTGCACATTAAGGAGCAACTTTTGTTTGTTACCTTTTATCAGATTATTGAATTAACAAGCGATATATATATACATGTTACTATTCTTTTATTTTCTATATTGGTCAATTGATGCGCAAACTTGTCCAATACTTTTGAATATTTTTCTTCTAAATTTCAGATGTTATCATTCATGCATGCTCAGAATACATTCTTTCATCAAGGTCATGATTTATCAGCTGATTTAGAATCTTATATGAAAGATGTGGCCTCTCAGGTATGATGTTTTGATTGATTGGTGTTGTGAGCCTTCATGTTATTTCTTAACTTGTCATTGCAACTAAGTGGCACTAGTTTGGGCTTATTTTCCTCATTTCAACTAATTTGTTGATGTGTTAATTGGTATGTCAGTTCAACTAGTACAGATAGTCCTCAGATTTTAAAATGGTCCATGTGTGAATATTTATCAACACGAAGACTATTTCTAAATTGATATTCAAATTTCACAAAATTAAGCATTAACAGAAATATAAAGATTGTAAGCTATATGTTATCTCTAAAAGGTAAAAATCAGTGCCAATTTCTCAGAATTTGTCACATGCTGTCTGTTTTCTAAAAGTGATGAAAAAATTAGTTATTTCTGCAGTTGAATAGTAATCAATTACTATCTATAAAATTAAGTCCATGTTGTGGTTACATTAAACTCTAATCTTTGATTTATCTAAGTATTAAAACTATCGATCCTTTGTGATAAAACTGATAAAGATATCATTCAAGTGATGCCCTTACTTCTACATTTGATCATTTGCTTCTGATTGACGACTGAAAATGTACTGACAATATCTTGCATCTGATTTGAAATCCAAATAAAAGGTGTGAAACCCAATTTCTACACTTCCAGGTAGAGGAATTAAGTTCTAAAGCGAAAGTAGAAAGAAAAGAGATGGAAGAAAGACATACTTTAGTTCAACAAAGAGTAAGTTGATATATTTTATTGTAAAATTATGCATAATTGCCATTCTTTGTTCGATGTGCCATTCATGAATATCCATAAATAATAATTATTCATAATATAGTTACAAAACTGTTTCCCAATATACAACTGATATACATATAATGTATAGCATATAGAGGAGTTAACTGGTCAAGTAATTTAGTTAATCAGCTTCTTGTTGAGTTGTTTCATCCTCAAAAGGAATATTTGGTTAAAATTGGGCTCCATCAGCTGGTACCATCACTATTTAGTTTAGTATATTAAAGTGAAAAGTAAATACAATCTAATCAAGCTTTACAATTTAGTGCGTTACAAAGGCTGTTAAGAATGCTAGTTATGAAATATCATAAAACATATTATATAGCATTGACATTCTATGGTGGCATAGAAATAAATAATTTCCATGAAATTGTATATTGATATTTATACATGAAATCATGAAAAAAGAACTGTATATGTAACCCTGCACATTGTATCAGGTATTAAGTTGCACTGTCTATTAATGAGCTGGCAGTAAAGTATACTCAAATCTTGATATTAGATTGACTTTATCTTCTGAATGGAGAAAGCTATGGAATTGGTATCAAAATGTAGCTGATGATGCCAGGAATCCAAATATACTAATAACTCTACATACCCCAAATGCTACTTAATATCTGGTTTGATGTGTGGGTCACATATTATACTAAATCATAGATTCACATTATGTTATAAAACCATGACCTGTAACAGTTATATTTGTAAATGTAAACAAATGACTGATATTACTTATATTTACCAATTTAATCTTGTTTGATCTTTACATATTATTCAGTATGAGATATATAAATTTATTGTGATTAGTATAAATATACAATTTTCTCTAAAGTTTGTCTATTTTTACTCTTTTTCTGTGTTTTCTCAATTTCCTTTTCCGCTTTCTACATTTCTTTCCATTTCTTTCACATTTCCTTCTTCGGTCTTTACGCTTCCTCTTCCTTTCAGCCTTTCTCATGGATGGTTTGGAATCTTTCTTGACGTCTCTGAATGATTTGTCTACATCTATTGGATTTATTGGTGCTTTCACTTCTGAATTATGTTTCTTTTTATGTTCAGGGAAATCAGTAAGTCTGTCTTTATCTAATTTGGTTTGAAACTTATCTTTGGCAAATATGTTTCTATTTCCTTCACTCTTGTCTTTTTCTTCAAAAGGATTTTTCTGTTCCTTTTGATCATCTTTCTTTTTCTTTGCGTTTGTGTCCCATTTCTCTTTGTTTTTGGCCTTTGGACTTCCATGGTTGTTATTAGGATAGCTGTTATCTGTAGAATCTTTGTCAAAGAGTTCATTATCAAATTTGTTTCTATTTTTCTTGGAATATTTTTGGTCTCTAGATTTTGGTTTGCCTCTCTTCAATTTTGGGTTTTCTTCATTATTCCTTTGCTTCTTTTTATCAGTATTCTGTTTGTGATACGTTATGTCTTTTTCGTTCTTGAAATTTCGTCTGTTTTTGGAATGCTTTTTCTTTTGATTTTCTTTATGATTCTTTTGTTTTATCTGATCAGATGAATTCTCTTTGGCTTGATGATTTTTCTCTGTAGCAAGAGAATCTTTCTTTTCTTTAGGACCCATTGTTTCTTTGTTAAGTTTGGTACTCTCATCTTTGTTTTTATTGTATTTTTTCTCCTGGTCCCCATTTTTAACAGTGGGATACCAGTCTTTTGTATCCTGATGATCTTTACTCTGATCTTTGGGATCTGTTTTGGTATCCTTGGAATTAGCTGTGTTAACTTTTGAGTTCAATTTGGTGTCCCCGATACTGATTTTGGTGTCTTTGTGATTGGTTTTGGAATCTTTGGAGTTAGATTTGGTGTCTTTTGATAGGCTTGATTTGTTATCCTTGTATTTGTGATATTTTTCTTTTTTTTCTTTTTCTACACGATCCTTTTTTTCTTTTTCATCTTGAGCTTTGTTGAACTCTTCTTCAATTACCCAGTATGGAAAATCATTCAGAAGACCCTGGTTGTGTTCCTCAAAATCAGAATCTCGCACATCAATAATGTCACTTCCACTCAATCCAAACGGTGTTTCACATTTAGGTGGACTGTATTCATGAAATGTGATTTGTCCAATTGCTGATTGCATCCATTGCTTCAGCCACAGTAAATCATAATCACAGATCCAAGCATTGCCATCTATGGGAAGTTTTTCAATGTTTGGAAAGGTATCTCTGAATGAGGATGGTAACTTTCTTAGATTGTTGTAAGTTAAAATCACTTCCTTTGTATGTGCCATTACAAAATAATTATCTCGTATGATTTCCAGGATAGTTTTGGACATACCTATACTAGCCATAAGATTTAGTATTTCCAAGTTTGGCATTTCCAGTAAAAAGTTTTGGTTAATTTGAACTTCTTCATTAGGATTATAGTTTAAGGTCAAGGTTGTTAGATTTGGGAGGTTACTGAAGGCACCAATCTGAATAGTCTCTATAGGATTGTTTCCAAGATATATTGATTTTAATGTTTGTAAATTTTCAAAAGTTCCTGGTTTCAGATCACTCAATTGGTTTCCTTCAAATTTAAGAGTTTGAAGTTTCATAAGTCCAGTAAATGCCTCATTGCTGATATTTGACACATGATTATTAGAAATATCCAAGTACTCCAATTGAGATGTTTCTGTGAAAAGTCTGCCTTCAATTTGATGGACCATATTGGAGTGCATGTGAACCTTCTTAACACTATCAGGAAATCCACGGGGTATATACACTAATTTATTTGCCCTTAACCACACCTCTTCCAGACTCCTGGCATTACCTAGAGCAAAGTATTCAAAACGCTCAATTTGGTTTTCATTAAATGTTATCATTTTAAGTCCAGTGACGTTAGCTAAATCAGATTGGTTGATACGAGTCAGTCGGTTGCGTCCAAATCTAAGATCTTCAATGGATGCAGGTAGACCTTTTGGGATGACCCCGAGCTGACAAGAAGAAAAGTCCAATAGTTGTAAAACTTGGCTTCCAAATTTCAGTTCACCTGGGAGATTACTGAGTGGATTATTATTCAAAAACAATGTTCTCAGTTTGATCAGATTTTTAAAAGTATTTCTATGGATTGTAGAGATTTTGTTGTTGCGTAGATCTAGGTAATGAAGATCTGAATTGCCAGCAAAATCGCCTTCACCAAGTTTACGAATCTGATTAAATCCTAAGTTGAGTTGAAACAATTTTGGAGTCGACAGGAAAATCCTTGTCACACTTTTCAGACGGTTGTTTGAAATAGAAATAGTGCGTACTTTGTTCATTCCATTCAAAGCTCGTCCGTAAATCTTCACAATTTGATTATTGGATAAATCTAAGGTCAACAAGTTAGTGAAAGGACGAAACGCATACGCACGTATCACTCTGATATTGTTACCACTTAATTTCATGATTTCCAGGGTTTCTTGTCTTTGAAATGATCTGCGACCGAGAACCTTTATCCTGTTTTGATTCAAATTGACTGAATGTGTTCCAGCTGGATATACTTTTGGAGGATTTTGCATATTTTTATTGGTGCAGACCACATTGTTGCCTTGACAATTGCACTGAGAAGGACAGCCGGTGGTTGACTGGAGCAGGAGTGAAATGAGACACACGATACACATCCAGTACTTCAACATCTTGAATAATTAGTCTCCTGGATCTGGATTTATTTTCTTGATTAATTAGTCTGAAATACACCAAAAAATCTTGTTTATTACGGATATATTGTTAAAGTAGAATTGTGCAAATTCATGCAAATAGATCAAACTGTTACCAATTGATCCAGGACTTAAAAGAAATAGCTTTGTAATGTTGTTAATTGGTGGTATTTTGAAGAAACACAATGTTCTTTTAAGTCATTGAAATATTATGTGGTATTCAGTGACCTTGTCACAAAGCCATAATGTTTACAGCCTCTCTGTCAAGGCCTCTGATTGGGTGTATGCGCTAACATCCAATTCAATCATATTGCTGCATTCTGTGATACAAGAATAGTGAGTATTGGAGTCAAGGTATAAGTCTGCAGTTCCTTATAACTTGACATTGAGAAGATGCTTTTTGTGAAAGGAGAGACAATTGATGACTACACTATTGTTTTTTTTTTTAACATGGAGCTTTAAGATGTAAATTTTATCAAGGAAGCCAATCTTAATCTTTAATATTTCAAAATCTTTATAAATAAGTTTCTGATAGAGTTTATTGTTTACCAAGTTTGAGGTAGGTTAGGCTACATATTGTATATTAACCTCATACAGCCCACCATGAGAGAAATTGATATCTACGTAAACAATGTTCTGTCTCTCTGTGTTCAGCTAGGCGTTAAAGTGTTAATATTAATTATGAAAGTGTTAAATTACCAACACTTTACATAACAAATATACTCTTTATAACTTCAAAAGAAATACAATATGCTTAATTGAATAAAAAAAATGGATTATCTTTGCCCATAGAAATTAAAATCTCCAATTACATGTTGTCCTTTGTGTAAATAACAAGAGAATGAAATCTCCTAAACTCATGTGTTAAATATGGATTCGAATAAACTTGTTATGAACTAGTTTGAAATATGCTGACTTTTTTTTTTTTTCAAGAAATAGTAGCTCATTGAGCTAGGCTTTAGCTAAAAAAAATTGAAGGTGTCGATTGAGATTCTAGCAGAGGTCCATATAGAATCTTTTGATCTTGCCCTTAGTAAAAGTTGATACAGTCACATGCAATACCGTGTTTTGGATTTCAGAACAGATAGGGGTTAATTTTCCAATATGGAACTTAAGACATTAGCAGAGTCAGCAAACTCAACAAGAGTAAGAAGCCATAAACAAGATATTGTACAACTATCTAAGCATCAGAGATGGATTTTATTGAAAATTAAAAAGTCTGGTTTCTGTTTAAATTCATTAAGGAATGCACACCCTATATTCTGAAGCAGAAGTTCTGAATTATGTTAAGTCTGAAGCAGAAGATTTGATTTTTGTTTCATCTGATGCAGAAAGTCTAAATTTTGTTTAATCTGAAGCAGAAGATCTAAATTTTTGTTTTATCTAAGCAACATTGGAATTTCTTTTTATTCTATGAAAGAAACCTGTAATCTAAATAAGATTTCAATTTCATTAAAGGGACAGGTGCAACATTTTTGGGATTGGTTTTAGACTTGAATATATGTTACTAGTCTTCAGAAGTACTAGAAATATATGAAAATCACATAATTCCTTTAATAATATTTCAAACTAGGAATTTTACTCACTATTTCCTTATATGTATTTGCTATATATCACAGAGTATCTTGAAATGATAGGTTGTTATTTTAACATTCGGATTTTAATGCGGATAATTTTGCACACACATGGATTTGAAGGCTCAAATTTCAACTGTGAGCTGTGAACACTATTATTGATTGACTTAGCTAAAAAAAATTCCCCTTTCTGAAACTAAAGTATGATTGGTAAAATGATTTCTCAAAAAAAACAAACCTGAATCCATAAATCATACATGTAACATGTTGAAAATTAATGAAAGTGAAATTTCTTACCTGTTTCATGTCTACATATCTCCTATTCTCTAATCTTGGTGACTATCACTAAACCTTCAATCCATGATACTTTACATAGACTAGATCCTTCAATTATCTATTATACATATACAAATAGCTTGACTTGATTTGAACTCTTCTTATTTACATATTCTAATTTTGACCTCTTCAGACCACACCTCCATCAAATTTGTTTACATTTCATGTTAGCATATGTGTTTAAAGGCACTTAAAACTCTAATCAAGTGTTATTCAAAGTTTGAGTTATGTATAATGTTCCAAAGACAGATTATGTGATAAATTTACATACTTCATTCATACACAATGACTCTTCAAATTGTGTGCAATTTACTGTTGTTTGTTTTTTGGTCATTCTCAAACCTAATACAACCAATCATGACAATAATGATTGTGAAAATTCACCATTTATTTTTTCATAAAGTGAAATAATGATAATAAACATGTGATACTTCATCCTCTTTTAATGATATTAATAATGGTTGTTCTTCTTTATTTCCAGGAGGTAAAACCAAATACAAGCAATGATGATGAAAATGATGAGGAAAATTCTAGTATATTAACTGAAGGATATTTATTTAAACGTACCACAAATGCTTTTAGAACATGGGTTAGGTAGGTATCTTACAAAAGCTTGTTCTAGCTATTTAAAGATGGGTTCCCTTATTTTCATATATAAAAATGAAAACGCTAATACATGTACTTATATGAATAGAAAGTACAGGTGTTCTGATGACTTGGAAAAATACCAGTTTGTCTCACATATCCATAAGTAATTCATAATTAGCTAAATAAGAAGAGAATTACCAGCAGAATTCCAATGAGTGACCGATAAAGAAAGATCAAAAAGTCTTTTTTTTTTGTTTATCCGGATTATACATACTTAGACATTTATGATTGGTTAAAACTTTTAATTATATGCAATAAGAACAAAATGACATGATTAAGAACACATGATAATTCATTAGAAACACCAATTAATCAAATAGTTTGCTTAATTTGTTGAAACTAGAAAAAAAGGAAACCCATCTTTAAAGCTGGCTAAATCTGAATATCCATCTATTATCTCTTTCTGATAATGTAGAGAAGCATAGTGAGTTATTTGTTTGATTATGATTCTGGTATTGTTTGGTATGGAATGGCTCCATTGAATTCCCAAGCTAGTTCCTTCAAAGAAGCACAGACATTTACATTATTGACAAATTTCCCCCCCATTATGAACTGTATCTTTATTCACATGCAGTGTATTTAATTTCATCACTCTAACTGCCAAAAAAATTAGAATCACAGCATTCAAACTTGTTACATTCTACATAAAAATCTGAAATAATGCAGACCTTTTACTATTTAGATTATATAATATTTTTAGCTCATAGTAGTATAAGTAGAAAGAAATGGAACAAAATTGAATTTTTTTGTTCTATTTTCTTGCTCCAGACTCATGAAGACTGACAACACCATGTAGTGTGCAATGAAAGAAATTTTGTCAGTAGAACTGCATTATCCCTCTTATTTTGGATTTCCAAATATCAAGGGATCGTGCATTGTCTGTAGCACACCTTGCCTGTGCCTGTCCCTACAAACTACAGGACTGACTTGATAAATAAGATATGGATGATAGTTTCATTTTTTATGCCTCTATGTAACAAGCCTGGAAAATTTCATTATATTTGAGTGACAGTTGAGGGTTATTGTATAAAATGTATAGCTGTTTAATTGATATTATCCCAGTGAGTCAAGATATGTGCTTGAAGGATTTATTTATTATCATTAAAGAACGATAATCCAGCTTAATAGTTACATTTCTTTGAATTTTGGAAACATTAAAGCTTTCTTCCTTGATGATTGTAAAATTGTGACCAAATAATGCTACCATACAAATTTTACCATTTGATTACAGACAATTCCTCTTTAAGTACTTAATGTAGAAATTGTTCAGTTAAACGTCAAGTTATTGAGGCTGGATTGAGTAACAAAATCAACATTTGGTACATTTTAGTTTTTCATTCAAGATAAATACGTTCATTTATTTAGAATTGGAAATTTTGTTTATTCTCATAATGTTGATGGCTCTTGGCTCTGAAATAACAAAAAATGTCAGAGTGACATCTTAAGTTTTATTGCAGTATAAATAGAAAATATATAGAATGGTGTTTGGTTTCACAGATGGCTTCATTTGTTTTATTTTTCTAAATAATTGTTACATGCAGATGATAAGTAGTAGAGGTTGAATATGTTGGAAAAAAGCAAATCTTTTCTCCTGTGAGACCCTCAAAAATCCAATTGATGCCTTGAAATTACAGTCCAATCTATTGATTGCTGTAGAACACATACTTGAAAAATTCTCAGAAAGCTTTACCGGTGCTGTGTGTAACTTTACATAGCAAAGTCGCATCGAAAATTTACATCAGCATAGTATATTGCTACTTTTTTTGACATTAATGAAGACAATTAAACAAGAATGATCTTACAATATTAACTAAAATTGAAAAATCTATGTACAACAGGAAAAGGAATTAATTACACAATTCCTGAAATTTATTTAGAATTTGTCATCTGCTTACTTTGATATATTATTAATATTTAAGGAACCTTTGAATTTGTATATTTATAAGTCTACATTAATGATTAAATAAATAAACTTGTTCACTGAAATAGTTTACCTGTTTCCAAGAAGTCGATCAAAGTGTAAAAGTTGTCACATATTCTTTCAACAGAGTTTTTTTGAAATTTCAAATATACCGGCAAAGACAACCATTCTCTTACCTTTGGAAGTTTTTGTGAGGTTTGTTGTCTGAAACTTCTATTATCTGGGACTTTGAAGGTGGCTGTCAGCATGTACCATGTCTGTAAATCTATGTGGTTCTTGAACTATGAATATATATTCAATAGTTTTGTTTTTAAGGAGATGGTTTACAATTCAAAATGGCCGACTAGTGTATCGTAAACGATCTAAAGATTCACTTTTAGGAACATTTTTTATGAATCTTTACAACAACTTCTGTTTCTTTTTGCTCTATGTATGGTTAATGATTTGTTACATTAAGATATTGGGACCCTGGGCCCTTTGAAAAGGTAAGCATTCTCTGTCACCATCTTGAAAGAAAGAGATATTTCTCACTCATACAATCTATATTCTATATTTGAAGCAAAAAGATACTGAAGAAAATGATAATAAACCATTGTCATCTGCTACAGTTGCTATTCCGCCTAATAAATCTTCACCAAAACCTAATAAACAAATGATGTAAGTTGATATTTACCTTATTCTATAATGGGGCAAGATATAAAACACTTATTGCTATACTACCATTGGATATTGCTTGAGAACACTTAATTTGAAATTTTAAAAAAACCTATGTACAGTTATAAAAAGCAGACGAACACAGGAAAATTGTGAATGGTATCTATATATTTATTATTTCAGTAGTCAACAGTTGTTAGTTATTCCTGGAAATGATAAATGTTGTGATTGTGGAGCACCAGATCCACGCTGGGCTAGTATTAATCTTGGTATAACACTATGTATAGAGTGTTCAGGTATACATCGGTCATTCGGTGTCCACATGTCCAAGGTTCGGTCTCTAACACTGGATGCCTGGGATCCAGAACAGATTAAAGTTATGATGGAGTTAGGCAATGAAGTTATAAATAGAATATATGTAGCTAAATTAAATGATTCTATAGCTGTTCAAGCCACACCAGATAGTAAGAGGTAGGTCATGATATGCTATATTCTCACTTACTGCTCAGTAGAAAAAATATTATAGATTTCAAACCTCTCCTTCAAGGTGAATTTCCCCTTTGAAATATAACAATATGCAGCTTTCAAGTATTTTCAATTTGATAAAGATTAAAAGTGGTGTTTTTGTATATCTCTCTATTGCTGCTAAAGATGATTTTTTTCTCTTGAAATAGATGAAGCCGGTTTCATTTCAATGGAAGATTAATATTGTACTGACTATATATTAAATGGAAATTTAAATTGCCATAATTTTCAGAAATGTGAGAGAAGCCTGGATTAAAGCTAAATATATAACTAAATCATTTGTTAATAAATTACCTGGTCCTAAATCACCATCTGGGGAAAGAATTAAAAGTTGGAGTGTTAAAAAGAAAGTAAGAAAGTCTATGCTACCATCATCTAAACCCAGTTCACAAGATGATTCAGAATCTGAGGATGTAGTTAGTGGTTTAATGGAAGGTAAGTCACTGATCTGTTGAAGGTGTTGAAGGGTTTAAAACCTCAAGTTTTGTAGACTATTTAGAAAAATCCTATGTTGTGTATAATTGTTGACCGACTCGACTATATAAGAATTATTAATTGTTTTTACAGCTGTAATGTCAGTATCAACAGTTAATAAAGATAGTGATAGTGGTTTAGGTGGTAGTTCTTCTGATGTTATAGTCTTTGGTACAGACTTACTACAAGCTACAGAAATCTGTAAAAGTAAGATATATAAATTGTTCTTAATCCACTGTTCATGTGTTAAAAAATTTTTCTTTTTTGGTTTTCATCCAGCCAATGATCTTGTCTACAAGATATGAGATAATGCAAATTTTGCAGAGCCCCAGGATGAGTGACTAGATCATCTTTAGAGAACCAGCAAACCTCCCAGGAGGTACCCGAGACGCCTCAAATGGACTTTTGTTAACATGTTAATTCACTTTTGCTTTTTCCATTATTATCATAAGAGGGAGAAATCCTTGTTTTATGAAATTGTTAAGCCTTATAAGATCAGTTTTGAATAGTCTTCAATGAAGTAATTTTTTCCCATTTGGTCCACAGATCTAGATTTAGAGAGTTCTGAGAGTTCAGCAACTGAAGAGGAAGAAGAAGGTGATGACAAGTCTACTACATCCTGGGAAGATATGAGTAAACTAGATCCTAATATATTATTATATAAGGCTGCTGAAGCTAGAAATGTACCTGTTATGTTAGATGCCTTATCACATGGTGCTGCTGTCAACTGGTCAAATAAAGATGATGAAGAGAAAACACCTATAATGAAAGCTGTTGAAGCTGTAAGTATATTTCAGGCTTTATACTGGTAGTAGCATGAATATGGGTATAGAAAATTATAGCAATAACTAAATCGTCTAATCCATAAATGATCAGATGATCTAAGCTAACCACTGTCTATTCTGCAAAAAAAATATGATTCTATCTTTACGGATTTTTTTTTTTCTTTCATTGAAGAACTAGAACTACTTGATATTAAAATTGATTTTGACTTCCAAGTGATATGAACTGTCTATTCAGATTATTGATCAAAATAGTGGTTGTTAGCACGAGGACCAGATTGTAAGTAAGATTGTGTAGAATCAAGAATCCAAAACAAATTCTAGCGACAATGAAAACTTGTGTTGTAGGGTTCTCTGACAGTGTGTGAGTTTTTATTATTGAATGGAGCTAAATTAGATAGAAAAGATATAAATGGGAGGACACCTTTACATCATGCTACTATACAGGGTCATACAGGGTAGGTATTAATAGAATGAGCTTATGTCGTGATGGTACATAACATATAGTAATGAATGTAATAATTGCCATCAATATAATGAGTTTCTATCTATAATCATACTTCACCTTTAATTTGATAAATGAATGAATAATTTGATTAGAATTCATGAACGAAAAGCCATTTTGGACAAATAAATGTTGAAAAAGGAGCATTACATTTTATATATTTTACCTTTTTTGTAGTCAAGTTTGTCAGTTTTTGAAACGTGGAGCCGACTTGAAGGCACTCGATAATTCTGGAAAGGTATGAAATTTAGTATTCAAGGTTTACACCCCACATTCTCTGCAAATTTGCCCAGCGTACAAAGCATAGCAATTGCAAACAGTATGCCAGGAAACTCACCTGAGGTACACAAATTAGTACCCATTTTTATACGCCCACTTGTTTGTAATGTGTAAGCTGTAAGATTTTCAAGAGAAATAATTATATATTTTAGGATCCATTGTCTATTGCTGTAGAGGCTGCCAATGCTGATATAGTCACTTTGTAAGTATTCTGGCATTTTGTATGATTCCATTACATTTCATGTTGATGATTGATTAAACTGAATGTAACATTTGGTGACTGATTGAAATAATGATGTAGCATTTGATGAATGGGTTAAAATATTCTGCATGTAACATTTGGTGACTGATTTTACCAATATTGATGTCACATTTGATCATTGATTGAAACAATCTTAATGTTACATTTGAAACAATCTTAATGTTACATTTGAAACAATCTTAATGTTACATTTGAAACAATCTTAATATTACAATTTGTTTATATTTTGAACTATAATTGTAGATTACGTCTTTCCAAGTTAAATGAAGAAATGCAAGAATCTGATGGATATTTTGGTCAGCCCAGTGATGAAACTTTTACTGACGTATTTAAAGATTTCTCCAATATGGCTTCAAATAATCCAGAAAAATTGAAGCGTAAATAGCATAGATTGTCTATAGTACAGTGGTATTCATTTTGTCATGGATGGAATGAAAACTTTTAAAGCAATTTAAAAACTTGTAATTGTAGTTAAAAATAAGCAAAACGATGAATTTCAAATTAATGATAATACAACAACTCAGAATAAATGAAAAGCATTTCATTAATTTTGTTGGTTATTTATTGGACAGTACTTATTTATGATCATAATTTGAAACTCCACAATCTTTATATATAACATTTGAGAGGCTACAACAGTATCAATAATCAATACTATATATGTAGCTTTTTTTTCACTTATTTGGCTAATATGAAATGGCTATTCCATGTATGTTGGTAACCATATCATAATAACTTCATGAAATTATATCAATTTTTACTGTAATTGTACCATAAAGTACTGAAGGTTGTGGCAATGTTCATTTTAAATTTGCAGTCTAACAGTCAATTGAATCATTGATAATATTTAGCTATTTTGTTTCGTTCCCAATGTGAACAAGATAACTGCCATATTGTTTATGAACTGAAGTATTTTCATTATTTGCATTTTGTGAAGTTTCTCAGAAAATGATAAAAAGTGCTCAAAATATTTACTGTGCTGAAATTTGTTAAACAGGTGCTTGATATACCATATCCCAGCCTTTCTGTATTTATATTAATAATATAGTCATACATTCCTAGATTTGATAGTCTGTCATTGCTTGCTTGTTGGAACATCAGGGTTGTTTGATTTGATTTATCAGCTAATAATTTAAGTAAACTACTTATCGAAGTGATGACAGTTTATGTTCCCAGACAGTAGATCATATTTGTAGCAATATTATTAATATTGAGGTTGAACTTTAATGAATTATAAAAATGATAAATGACTTATTTGTAAGAGTATTAGATTATGAAGTTTTGGTAACAAACAATTGAGATAGATATCAAATCCACTTGGAAACTACAGAATTTAACTTGTTGCTATTACTCTTTAATATGTTATGTCTGACTTAATCTCAATGGTTTCTGCTTTCTTTGAAGAGAAAAAAAAATTAAAAGTTTATGAAAAAATAGTGTATAAAAATGATTTGTTCATCCTTGCTTATAAAAATGATTGTACTTGGTTAAGGCTTTCTTCAACTGTAAAACTTGATCAGATGTATAATATATTTGACTTTGTCTCATTGAGAAATAAACTTGGTGCAATTACAATGTATAGTTTCTATATTTATATTTACATGTAAATATATTATATAACCAGTGAATTACTGTCTGATGAAATAATTATGATAATTTAAGAATGTGTACATTTGAAGAGTTCTCTGTCAGAAAATGTAAATATATTTCATGAATCATTTAGGAGAGATAGTAGGCCTACATTTATGATGTTTTATATGAACAAGTAAATATATATTCTGTTTGTATAAAAGCGTGATAGAAGACTATATAGATAGGTAGGATAGAAAATGTAAATATAATAATGAATTTGTGTTGGATTTGTACATAAAAGAGTTCAGTATTTATTTACTTCTAGTGAGGAACTCTGTTAAATTTAGAATTTTGCAATACAATTTTAATTTTTTTTTAGAGAAAAACATAAGCTTTTTCTTACTTTCCTTTGAAGCCCTCTAGTATATTTCTTATAGTTTTAAAGGAATTGTAAAAGGTGTATAGGGACACTGATATCATCAATTTGCACCTTTCCAATTTTTAATCAGATGTCTGTGGTTCTTGCAATTCTACTTTATATATGCATTTAATGGTGTCATTATCTCAAAGATTCAATTGCAAGAGCCAGAGACATCCGACTGAAAATTGGAATGGTGCAAATGGATCAGTGTGTCCCCTATACACTTAAAAAGTTTAGATAACCTCTTTACAATTCCTTTAATACGGTACATCAAGTTACATGTAACTTGAATAGTATTTTTTCATAAATAGTTTTACTTGTTTCATCTTATAAAGAAAAATTAAAAGAGATGATCAAGAAAACTTAAATACGGAGAAATCTTATAACAGTGTGTTAAATATTTCATCAAACTATATTGCAAATTTTGGTTACATCAGTGTAGCAAATCCAAGCCACAACTAAGCGATGAGCTAAAATTTTAACAAGTCATTTAATCTAGCCTAGCGAATATATACAGATAATTGTTATGTTTGAACTTTATTTTGAGAAGTATTCAGATAATGGGAGATATCATTAAGTGCTCAATATGTCATTTGGAAATGTGCCAAAAAGTATTTATTATAAATGACTTTTCAAATTTGTTCTTGGCAGGTTCTGGTGATAAATTGTTTATGTTATTGTGTAATGTATCTGGTTGTAAATGGGCTTTGACATTAAGATTTCTAGTGTCATAATGAAAACATAAGGAACATAGGTCTATACCGGTCCTTTTACCTACTGAGAAGAACGTAATGCTGTACTGAATACAATACTGAATGTACAAAATATTTTTTTTAATGTTGGACCCCTGCCCAAACTTTTAAACATTAAGTTTCCAATTCTGGAAAGTTACCTTGCAACATGTATTGACACATGTACAACTGTTATCCAAATAATACATGAAGTCTCGGTGTTACAACTAGACAATCATAATATTCTTCAGAACTTTGGATCTAGGCTCTGTGATTTCCTCTTTGTCATAGAACATTTCAATTCATATTTGTGAATCTTGCCTTGTTGGACAGGGTCAGATGGATTCTGGTAAACACTTGTCAATATGTTTTTGTATATGTTGCTTAGAATATGTTGTAAAATTGTTGTATTATAGATATATATGTTAGGTATATTTTCTATTTATTTGTTTATGTCTTGCCTTATCTTTGAGAAATTGGCTTTGTATATGCAAAGGTAGATATTTTAGAAACTTGATGAGTTCTGTAGATGAAGATTCAGGTCTGACAACTGATAAATAGCAGTTATCTCTCTCCCTCTTAAATCTGTGGCCAATTCTACAGGCAATGCCAATTTTGTTTTTTGAAATTTTGACCCTGGCATGACCTACAAAAAGATTGTATCCCTTTTTATTCAAATGTGTTTCTGTCTGTAAGGGTTAAGTAAAAAATCCATAGATAATTTGATTTAAGGACAAAAGCTTTTGTTTAAAGTTAAAGTAGTAATGAACGTGAAATTTTAGGAAGAATGAATAGCAATCAACTAAATGAAAGTCTATTTTAGGTATTTTGTGCTGCTGTCATAAAATAGACTTTCATTTAATTGATTACTATTTATTCTTCCTAGAAATTAATAAACTGTTCATGTTGTGAATCAAACCCATTTGTCTTTGCTGGACTTCTTCAATTACTAATGATTTTGCAAATGTTTGAGTTATAACCTATCTCTGAACATCCAAATTTAATAAAGTGAGTCTGCTATAGTTCTGTTTGTTTCTGTCAGGTCAATACTCAATGTTTCCTATTTTCTTTAGATAATAAAATGAGCTGTATATTTTTGAGAAGCTTCATTAAAAAACATAATTGTTTTATTTCAAGTCATTTTTTATGCGCCCAAATGAAAACGAGGACATGTACTGCCCTCACCCCATGTCTGTCTGTCTGTCAAGCTAGTGTTTTAGTCATGTTTAGATTAACTTTGTATCCATATTTTGACTAGTAATCAAGAAGGAAAATCACATTAAATGTTATTTATTATTCTAATAAACAAAAATATATTAGCACAGATTATCACAAATTCTTGTTAATTAAAGTAAATTAAAAAATGGAATATGTTAGGAAGTTTTGATATATAGAATGTATATAGAATAAATTCCAACATACAATTATATTAAATAATATACATATTCAATACCATTGATATACATTATCATTCCCATACAAGATGGATTCACAAAAAAAGATATGATTTCTAGAACTATATATAGTCAAGCATCAAACATTTTTGCCTCATTATATTATTTACAGTGTCTTTAAAAGAAATAAACAAAAAAAATATTAAATAGTTTGGCTGGCAAATCCTGGTTTTATTTCCTCCATATCTATGAATTATTTGGATTGGTCATGTGATGAATAATATTTAATTAGTTAATGAGCTAATGTTCATAATAAATTATTTTATGATATTTGAATTGTGTAAAAACACAATTTACATTCCGATATAAAGAAATCAAACTAGAGAACTTCATATAATAAATTTTTGGACTTGGATATGACTATGTCCTTCTATGCTTTAAATCAAATAACAATTCCTGATTTATGATCAAGATTTTCACAACAAGCTTATGTATAACAATTTCTAACATTCTTGGAATGAGTTTTTGATTATTTGTCATAAACAATATCGTAACAGAGATTCCATAAAAACCAACAAATTAAAAAAATAACTGATTCAAAAAATAACAAATCCAGTTACAAAGGTAGCACATTATAATGTATATATCTTTGTTAAAATTAGACTCTAATAGATCTTTAAATATCTTAAATTAGGGGCGTAAATCTCCATTTACCTATCAGTACTTACTTTTTAAAACATGAAAGCAGAATTCAATTGACCAACTAATTTTGGATCAAAGGGAACTCTCTGATTACCTTCCAGATACAGTTGCACAAGAAAACTCACTTTTTCTGGACTGAGTTTCATTAACACACTCTCTGGTAAGTTCCAACATGTGTCACCACTTACATTTTGATAAAATATTTTTCCAATTGTAGATGCATCGCGACTTTTATGAACAGTCCAATCACTACCTAGTTCAGCCTCATGAAGAAGAAGTCCACAATCACACCGTTCGTTGTTCCGTAATAATTCAGCTAGTTCACTAGCTCTATCTATCTCTTCATCTGTTGGTCGTGTGTAATAAGGAGTTGATCCACCTGCTGCAGGACAAGGGGGGAGTGGTTGAGGTGGACGATGTCTCGGGTCTGTTAAACTTGTAGTGCTTCCATGATGATTACTTAGATTAGTACCAGGTCTTTGGCTTGATGAGATATCAGATGTTCTCCGTGACAATTCTACAGCTCTCCTACTTGAGCTACCATTTTCTGGATTTTCTATAATAGGCAGGCTTTGGGTACGGTTGCGTCTTGTCAAAGGATGGATAAGTTTAACATTCTCTACCTGTTCCAGGTTTCCTATGCGATGTTTTGAGTAATGTTGTTGTAATGCAGAAAATGATTGGAAGACTATATCTGGTACAATGTGATATCTATAGTTGAAATTTTGTTTAGAAACATAAACTTGAATGTGATGTATCTGACCATCATCAACACTGAAAAACAATAACCATCCAATTAATATTGTTATAACTATCATGTCATTGCCTAATATAGGCCCTACTTCATCTTCTTCAACTTATTGGGCTACAAATTACTGAACTACTGGTACAAATACTTATAAGGCACCTAAGATTTTCCTTTCTCATGTAGACTTCAGTTCCAATAATGGTTGCAGATGTAACCATGATCATGTACATACAAATTTGTGAGATCATTTCTAACTATCACTGGCAAGTTAAACTAAAATAAGAAAGAAAAAGGACAAAACCTCTTTTACCTGACAGACAATGTTAGATGGTTTTCTCCCTTTGAACTAGTTCTCAATAAAAAGGAACCATGCTGTCTGCAATTTTTCTTGATGTATGAATGAGCCTGAAAAACAATTGAATATGATTGGCCAACTTCAAGTGGTTTTAAAGAGGTTTTCTAGGTTTTTATGAATTCTCACTTGGACAGTTTTATGCTCAAACCAGTCATAAAAACCATTATAAATAAGCCTTATCAAAGGTGGAAGCTGCTTTAACTTTTTAAGATAATCATTTTTAACTGTTGTCTGTAACATCAATAATTAATACTGAAGTAGTTATCAAGCCATATCTATGTTGTAAAGACTAAAATAAGCTTATAATATTTTAATAATTACATTTTCAGACAGAAATCATATTATGTACAATAAGTTTTTAAACAATTCCATGTTGTATTTTTTTGGTGTAGTGTACATATCGTGTCTACATTTAATCTTAATTATTAATATAGCAATGGGCTGCACTAGCTGTGAGTAGAAATACAGGAAAACAACTTACAGCATCACTGTTGATCAATTCTTGGTGAAAATATGGTAGCATGAATATCTCATCTGGTAACCAGTTAAATCTAGTACTAGCTTGATGGTTTCTAGGTCTTGGTGTTGCTGCCTCTTTATTTAGTGGCATCTTGATGATTCTGTCATTACAGCTTCAGAAACAATAGACTGATGATGAATTTGTCATTGAATAATGAAAGAAGAGATGTATTAAAGCCTCTATGTCCAGATCCCCTTTGGGTAAAATTAATTGAAATAAGAATTACATTGTGCTATTCAAAATAGCAAATAAAAGACAAAAGTTTTGAAAGAAAGAAAGAAACAACTATATTTTACAAGGATAACAACTTATGTTCAGTTAAGGATCCTTTCTACCAGCTGGTCTTTGGCCAAACCTCTTGGCATCGATCTTTCTGACTGGAATTATGAGTGAAGATGCCTTATTCAAGGTCATCGGACTTTTACACGCAGATCAAGATCGAAACACACAGTCACCATTCACGTAACCGAGCAAGTGACATCATGTAAAGAACTAATGCTCTAACCGAATGTGCTATAGAACCTATTAACTTAAATTAAGGAAAATATAGGCCTATGGTTCAGTGATTTTACATTTAAAATAGACACACTTTCCTCTCAGAAAATTCAGATGAAAATAACCCTACTTTTCTGACTGAAAATTCCCCTCTGTAAAATCATTTTCACAATTAATATTTTTTTCGGTGGTTAACATTTTCATCAACCCAAAGACAATCTAAGACTCTGTGGTTTTTGTAATTCATTAAAGATTGTAGTAAGAGAGAAGTACAGTCAAGTAACCTGAATTTCGTGCTAACCTATTTTTCGTGCATTTCCAGAAAGGATTAATAATTTACATGTGCGACCTCCGGTGACCTCCACATTTGCTTGTTTTGATAAACATGGGTTATCTGTACTATGTTAGCTAGTAGAAAGAATCTAGTAGTTTCAAGCATGGTAAAATGTATTAATGTATCCTTTGACAAATACAAAATGGCGCATTTCAGTTATTACCAAATGTCACCATTTTTTATCAGCCGAATTTCCTTATAATCCCCAGCTGCAATCGGAATTCCAAGTATCGTCTGCTAGAGTGTAGTCAAAAGAATGAAGTCACATGATCAACTAGCGCATTCCGTATCAGCAGAAAAATTCTATGGAACACAATATGGGCCATATTCTTATGTTGTTTCAATGACTTTTAGCAATAAATCATGCTGCATATCTTATTTTGTCAGTCACTATTTTTTTTTTAAATCGTGGTTCTTTGAAAGAATTGTCACTAGTTATAATGAATTGATATTAAAGATAAATACTAAGAGAAGTTAATTATACTATTGGGTATCCATACAACGTGTTTTTCTAGACTTATTTATAAATCATACAGTGTACACGAAAATAGGTGACCCATTTAGCAGCCGTTGTCGAGTTGGTTACTCATGAAATATGGGTCAAAGTGAGGGATTCATAAAGAAAATCGAAACAAACCAATTTCAATTATTTTGTAGAATATCTGAGGAAACATGTAAGACATAAAAAAAAAATTTCCGTTTTTTTACTCTGACCAAATTCGGTGTTGAATCCTTATATGCACGAAAATAGGTTACACCACTGTGCTAGTAGCCCTAATACTGTAATAGGTCTAATTACAGTGTCTGGGTGTGATATACATGTATAACATCAGTCTTGACTCAATCTCATATTACATGTATAGCAGTCAAGACGTTGAAAACTTCGACAAATAAATTTATCATACCTGTTTGAAATTACGGTTCAATTTCAATCATTGACGGCTATTACTTAAATGATTGGTTACAATTTAATTAACCATTTACTGACAGCTGAGTGTAAACAGGAAGTTTAAATTAGAGCTTTTATCATCCAGTCAAACTCTGTTACGCCATTGGAATTGAGGCTTAGTCCCGAATGTCTTAGCCAATATTTATGGTCACTTGCCATTTTTTAATCTCAGGTTATTGGCTCCGTACATAGTAAAGAATTGAATTGTGGTTTGCAACAATATGACAAAAATCGAATTTTTCTACTCTCTGACTACAATGATTTCTGAATCGAATGTTGGCAATCATTTCCGAACGTATTGAAAGATTAATTATAACATAATACTGATAGTCTTACGTTGTGTTTTGGTTAACCACTGGAAAAGTTATTTTTTGTAAATATGATTTCACATAGGGGGGTTCAGTACAAAAAGTAGGTAGTTTTCACGTGAATTTTCTGGGAGTGTGTCAATTTCAAATATAAAATCACTGAACCTTATATTTCTATAGACCCGAAGACATTCTAAGACCAATGGCATAGAATTTAAAATTTCATATAAAGCTTCATGTAGTGAGCCCAGCCCCGTCGTTAGGGTATAGGGTCCGTGGGTGCTAAGCCCCAGGAAACCCTCTTCAGTTCAGCAGAGATCGATTCATATACAGTGCCTTTGCGCAAATTAAAAATATTTTGAAATGTTTTTGGCACCACAAAACATATATAAGTATAAAATCCGAGCCCCAGCACCAATTCATTCCAGACTGAGTCAGATATAGTAGTCCCTCCCTCCTTATACGTATTCTTCCACTAAAATGTTATATTTTGAGATAAAAATAGGCCGCTCAGAACTGGAAATAATTTAAATATGCTACCCAGTTCCATTCACAATTCCATAGAGACCGTTGCCCGTCGGAAAAATGGCCGTGTAGAGGTGAACATTGATGGGGCTTCATCTTTGACTGGCCAATAACACACAATAGTCTATTATATAAGCTATATTCACGAGTCTGAAGGCTGTCTGCAGTGGGTTTCGTCAAATATTTAACAAATAATCTGCCTCATTTCCATCACTGTAAACTGTGAAATTAGTCATGCCTTTGGCCATGCCTTTCAGTCTCTAGCCAGCCAAATTCTGACAACTGTTTTAATCAATTCATAACATTTTTTCTAAAAATACAATTTTTTCGTTTTTAGATTTAATTACAACAATTTAAATTCCAAGAAATTAGTGTATCCATTGGCCACAAAAACTCTATTGATGTCTATGACTGAAGTGTTAAAATTAGCGGAAGTAAGAAACCGGGATTAGTCTCGATTATTCCAGGTTTATATAAAACAGACTTCAGACTACAAAATTTGTTAATAACTTCCTTACATGCCTTAACCATATTAATTATGTTATTAATAGTTATGGCCTTAAATAATTACAAAGTAACAGTGCAAAAATAACGTCTTAAAAGTATTGGATTTCCTTCTTTTTAATATAATAGTGTTGATTTTAGTCTTAATATGTGTAATTAGTCTTCAGAAGTACTAGAAATGTACAAAAAAATCGCATAATTCCTACCAACCTAAAAATTTCACTTTCTATTTCAATGTAAGTTTCAAGAAATGACGAGTTGTCATTTAAACATTAAAACACATATAATTCTGGACACTTGAATTTTGACGATGAGCTGATTAGATAAGCTAAAAATTTCCAGTTTCTGAGAGACTACAGTACAATTGGTACACATGGCAAACCTGTTCCTTTAAACAGAGTTCCAAAGTCAAATCAATTTTTTCAAACACAAATTACTTTAAATTGTGCAATATTCAACTACATATTCTAAAAGATGTTCATCATTATGATTTCTTAGATTGTTGTACAGCTTTTTTAGCTTTAATAGCTTCACACAATTCCTTATATCTTTTCATACAATCCTTTTTACTTCTGGTAGGAACAGCTTCAGCAATTCTTTCCCATCTTTCTGGTGTACTTGAATTAAATGTCTTTAATGCTTGTTCTAACAATTTCTGCTCTTCTGCTGACCATGGCGCTGGATTAGTACCTGTTTGACGAATTTGTTGTTCAGCTACACTTTCAAGTCTTTCACTTGGAACGCCAGATAAACTAGCAGCTGGAGCTGTTTTATGAGTTTCACTAAACTTCTCAAATGCTTTTTTATCTGCTGATTCTTTCATAAATCCATCATTTTTCTGCAAATCTTTTGCTTTAGCCAACACATCCTTAGCGTTTTTACCAAAAGAACTGATATGTTGTTTGATGAACTTTGCTATTACTTCCCATCTGTCTTGTGTCCCTGCAGGAAATAAATTAACAGCTTTAATCAAATATTGTAGCTCTCCTTCACTCCATTCTTTACCCATATCTCTATTATCAGATCCTTTCTTCTTATGCAATGCTTGAACTTGCTTCCTTTTTTCTTCTTCCAACTGAGCATTCATTTTTTTCACCTGAGTTTGGTATGCTGATTTGGCTCCATTATCATCACTAGACTGTATTTGTTCATTTAATTCTTTCAAGTTTACAAGAGATAACAATCGAGCCAATTTATCAACTTCTAATATATTTTTTACTCTTTCATCATCATTGTTAGCAAAATAATTTCTTTCCTTGGCTGAATCCATTAATAATTTTCTTTCTGTTTTTAATGCTTTGTCTTGTTCTTCTCTTTCACGCTTAGCTGCTTCAGCCTTGGCTTTATTTTCGTCTTTAATTTTCTGCTGTCTTCTTTTTTCTTCTTCTTCTTTCTCACGTCGTTCCGCTTCTTCTGCCTCTTGTTTCTGTTTTATAGCATCTTGTTTAGCTTTCTTAGTAGCAGCCTTCTTAGCTTTCTCATCTTCTTTATATTTCAATACTCTTGGATCATTGGCATACGAGTTATCAACTAATTGACGTATTCTGGAAGTTTCTTCTTTTTTTCGTTTTTGACGAGCTGCCTTGTTCTGTTTTTCAATCCATCTTCTTTCATCTCGGTTTTCACCCTTTTCTTTCTCTTCTTCATCCAAATAAGAAAATTCTCTCCATGAATCAAAATCATACCAAAATGCATAGAAATCATCAACATCATCATAGGGTGTGTTAGAATCACCTAATTTAGGCACTGGTGTTTTCTTTGACCATCTTGAATTCATTTCAAATACAGGTCGAAATGTTTTGTAGAACTTGTCTTTAGAATAGGTTTTATTTGAAGGTACTTCATCATCAAATTCAGGATCTACGCTGTCGTAAGACCTACGTTTCAATGGTACACCTAGAGTCTCCCATGCTCTTGTGATACAAGTGAAATAATCATCATCACCTTCTTTAACAATTAAACCTCGTGATTTTCTTTTATCTGGATGATGTTTCAATACTTGTTTTTTATATGCTTTCTTAATCTCATCTTCAGTAGCTTTATATCTTAGGTTTTCTAAACCTAGCACATTATAATGATCTTGGTTCTTCCATTCTTTAGGATTCAAGGACATAAGATATTCTGTATTATCAATCCCATCATCTTCATCTTCACTTTCATCAGAACTGGAACTATTGAGAGAATGTTGTGATATTGAATGTTTACTGTTTAACCTTGATTGATAGCTTTCATACCATCGCCCAACTGGCTCCACTGATAGTATGGTGCACACTGAAAGTTTTTTTATAATCCCCGTCGTGTCGCCATCTCCAGCACAAGGCAGAATTGATGGAGGATCTGTGGTTGTGAGCACTGTGACAGCCATTTTATTTTCTTGTAAACTACCACGATGTTTCTGTTTTCAAAGCTGGCGGACACTTTTCATCCGCCACAAATGAAGAGTCAAATCGGACCAAAGACAACTCGGCCACTTTTTTAAGACAATGTCAAAGACAACTCGGACTCAGATAATGTAAACAAATTGAAAGGAAAATGTTGAAGACAACTCGGACCACTTTGTTTTCTGCCTTCTTTTGAAAAGTGGTCCGAGTTGTCTTTGGAACTTCGTCCGAATTGCTTGTAGTCCGAGTTGTACTCGACTAGTCCCATTGAACTGTAAGCTTATAGCATACAGTTGTATCTAGTCTCTATGTAACTCTATGCCATAGATGTATTATAATAACTGATTATAACTCTATGCTCTATGCTTGTATCATAGAACTGTGTTCTGGAGTCATGTTGGCGAACACTTTTCATCCGTGACAAACGAAGTTGGCCAGCTATTAGAGTGTAGCCTTTTTGATTAAGCCAATTAGCGATGATCAAAAAAATTACATTGTTATAAATCCTACCAAATTATAACAATGCATTGTGTCGCCGAACGTAAATTTCAAGAAATATCTGAATAGAGATGTAGTAACAACAAGACAAAAGAAACAATGGAAAACGTTCATTTTTTTATATTTATAATTAAATCCCGATTCCATTTACACGATATCACGCAATTTGATAAGATAACAGCGGTCACATGCATTCGGTTTATTTAAACAATAAACTGTTACCCTATGGCGGCCAAAGGTTGGCTGGAAAATTGAATAAACGCACGTAAGCGCATTAGCTGTTATCCTAGAGTAACAGTTTATTGCTTTTATTTACGTTTTCAAGACATTCTAATTTTAATGTTTTGATACAAAGACTTTAGTTTGAATTTAAGTAGGATCCATGGTTGTTTACATTGGAGACCGTCTATTTGATATAATTTCGTCAATAAATAATGACGTCATTGGTTGAAATTACTACGCCTAATGTTTTGGTGATGAGGCAACGGCGTTTATGGTGATATAAACGCCACACGAATTTGTATTAATCGATCCAATGGAAAAATAATAACTAATGTAAATATATCTGTGTAAACAGAATGTAAATATAATCTTCGCCCCTTGACGGACTACTTTTATCATTGAGCTTGATTGACGTGAACTCTGAGTACAGGGCGTAGATGTTCCTTCGAACGCCAACACCAGCCGAAATCGACACTTCATTGAATGATAACAGTATTTTCCAAATACCATCGAATGTGCACACTCCAAATTCCAACAATATCATGAATTCTGGACTTATTTCGAACTCGTCTTTCAACATACATGGCCGTCAACTTTCAGGCAGCTTATTGTTGATTGGCTGTTCTCTAGCCGTCTAGGGCGTATCTATTGTTAGTATCAGTTCATTAGCGTTAAATTAAAATCTTTTGTATTTATGCATTTATGCGCCAATTTATTACCTTAAGCTTAAGGTGTTGCTATATTTAAAAAACACGTTTTCGAGTTGATTTAATTTGAAGGAATGGCCATAACATTTTTTTAAGTTTATCACCGATTTATAAACAGAAAAAAACTGCGTACACTTTTGAATAAACCGCTACGGACACACATGAAGGCTAAAAATTCGACGATGAGATGTGAACACTAATACTGATTGGCTTATCTAAAAAAAAAAATCCCCTTTTTGAGATCAGGGCACGTTTGGTAGCAAAAATGGCGCATCTGTCAACATCGAATTTTAAAAGTGTCCACCAACTTGAGTCTTCAGTTGTGGCGGGTCAAAAATGTCTGCCAGCTTGAGGTTATTTATAGACGTCATTGATTTTCAAAATATTCTCGATTATTCCAGGCGTTTTATAAAACAGACTACAGACTACAAAATTTGTTATTATCTCCCTTACATGCCTTAAGTTTATAATAATGTAGGCCTAACAGTAAAAACATAACAATACTAAACATAGCCTCCAAAGCAACAATTTATCAAACCTCTACAATAAATTGACCCCAAAGCACATTTAATACTGACTTTCTCGCCTTACTCTTCTGCTGTGAATAATCATAAGATCGTTCAGCGTGTAAAGAGGGAATATTTGCCATAACAGTGGAAATAACCTGCTCTATTTTGATTTCCAGCAGGTTTACCGTCCCATCCGAATGACTGAACGCGTTTTCCATGTCTGATCTGTATCACTAACAAAAAAACGAAATTAGATCTACAGAGACTTTTGCTCGAATGTCCCTCGAGCAAGCGTCCACCTTCCTGAGTAAAACGGGATTTAAATCTGTTTAGACAGTCTTATGAAGTGTTAGTTCGAGTACTATTATTAAAATACAGAATTGATTTGTATAATATATCTTATTTTCTTCAATGAGTTTTGTTTGAAGCATGTCTAGACTAAATATTACAATAACAGGTTTTATAACATACTTGAAATTATCATACAATACAGGTTCTAATTTAGACAATTCTTGGTAGAAGCAGGAGCGTAATTAAATTTGTTATGTTCGTAATGGACTTGTCTGACTTTTTCAGAAGACAAAACCGACCTCTAGTTCGCAATAAATAGTTTTAATGCCATTTTATATTGGCCCGTATCCACCAAATAGAATTAAACCTAATATTATTCTATTGCGCCCGAATAACATTAATTTTTAATTTGATTGAATTTTCTTGCATGCACCACATAGAATTACCTTAAATAAATTTGGTTAATTAACTCAAAATGGACTAAATATTGGTTGATTTAGATGGATTTGGTGACATTACGCTATTAAAAACATGTTACATGTTACATGCAGCATGACATGTCGATTTTTTTTTTTAAATGAAATTGAATTCAAATCACATTAATTTTGTCATTTATTTGTTCCATCTGAGAGAAGGAAATATAAAGAAATCTTGTATCTAATTCAAAAATTTCAAAAATGAAATCTGTCTTGGTGAGCAAGCTTTTTCACTCTTTTGTCAAATTTAGATTTGGTATATACATGTATAGTGTGTGTGGTTCGAATACAAAATATGGTTTCAATTACAGTATAAATATTATTTGTTAATTGTAAGTTTTTGCACACAAAAAATAGAATTATCTCTGAATAACTTTACCTAAGTATAATGTTTAAGGCTTAAAATAAGTGATTTTATTTGATGCATACGGGCCAATGTCAAACGTAGTGAGTCTTGTATATTTACTCTAATAATTCATCTTGTATATTTACTCTAATAATTCATTTTGTATTATAGTATTATTTACTCTAGTTATTCATCTTGTATATTTACTCTAGTGGTTGATCTTGTATATTTACACCAGTGGTTAATCTTGAACATTTACACTAGTGGTGGATCTTGTATGTTTTCTCTCGTGGTGAATCTATAGTATAATTAATCTAGTGGCGAATCCTGTATATTTACCTTATATAGTTGAAGGATCTTGTATATTTACTCTCGTGATGGATCTTGTATATTTACTCTCGTGGTTGATCTTGTATATTTACTCTAGTGGTTGATTTTGTTTATTTACTCTCGTGGAGGATCTTGTATATTTACTCTAGTGGTTGATTTTGTATATTTACTCCGTGGCGGATCTTGTACATTTACTCTATTGATTGACCTTGTATATTTACTCTCGTGAAGGATCTTGTATATTTACTCTAGTAATTGATCTTGTATATGGTTGATATGGATCTTGTATATTTACTCTCGTGGTGGATCTTCTATATTTACTCTCGTGGTGGATCTTCTATATTTACTCTAGTAGTTGATCTTCTATATTTACTCTAGTGGTTGATTTTGTATATTTACGCTAGTGGTTGATCTTGTATATTTACTCTCGTGGTGGGTCTTGTGTATTTACTCTAGTAGTTGATCTTGTATATTTACTCCAGTGGTTGATTTTGTATATTAATTCTCGTGGTGGATCTTGTATATTTACTCTAGTGGTTGATCTTGTATATTTACTCTCGTGAAGGATATTGTATATTTACTCTAGTAGTTGATTTTGTATATGGTTGATATGGATCTTGTATTTTTACTCTAGTAGTTGATCTTGTATATTTACTCTCGTGGTGGATCTTGTATATTTACTCTAGTAGTTGATCTTGTATATTTACTCTCGTGGTGGATCTTGTATATTTACTCTAGTGGCTGATCTTGTATATTTATGAAAAGTTCAAGATAGAAAGATAGTTTGGAGATCAGAATTGCAAATTTTTAAGAAATTGATTAAGAAGTTGACGAAACCCAGATCACCATTCTTTCCTTCTCGAGAAACCTTTCCATCTAACTGGTTTTATCACAGTTTGACAGCATAAAATGAATTTTTATTACGAGAGAGAGAATAAAATCGATAAAGTGGCCGAGAATGTCATCAACTCCCTTGGTCGTTTATCAGTATTCACAATAAAATCGGCATTCCACTAGGATTTCAACATCACTTAGAAAAGAAAATAGGCTATTAGTTTGTTTGACAGTTTTCATGTCTGAAACGTGGAAAACATAGAATAAGATTAAACATCTTCATTTTTTCCCAATTTGTTTAAATTAATAGGATTACCGATAATCGATATGTGTTATTCCATGTGTTATACAGCCTTATTAATTTTCTAATATTTCACACCACATGCTCTAGGATTATTCCAGCACATTTACTTTACATTACTATTTTGTTTAATAGGAGTATTTTATCGTTTAGAATACATGTACCGGTACCATTTTTTTTTTATCCCGTTTCCTTTTCTCCTGCCCTTGGTTATATTAATGGTTTCTTAATGAACTGAAGGATATTTTTGTTGTCGATTTATTGCACAGTCTTGTCTGTTATTGCCGCTCCAATGGCCAAGAAACAATAGCTTGTACTACCACTGACTTAGTAAAAATCTGTATTTCATGGGCTTTATAAGTAACAGTAGCCTGATATTACCAGTTGCCCAGTAACAATAAAATGATATTACTAGAGGCCTAGTAACAATAGCCTGGTATTACCGGTGGTATAGTTACAATAGCCTGGTATTACCAGTGGCCTAGTAACAATAAAATGATATTTCCAGAGGCCTAGTAACAATAACCTGATATTGCCAATGGCCTAGTAAAGATGGCCTTGTATTACCAGTGGTCCAGTAAAAATGGCCTGGTTTTACCAGTGGCCTAGTAACAATGGCATGGTTTTACCAGTGGCCTAGTAACAATTGCCTGGTATTACCAACTAGTGGCCTAGTAACAATAGCCTGGTACTACCAGTGTCCTAGTAACAATAGCATGGTACTACCAGTGGCCTAGTGACAATGAAATGGCACTATATGTGGCCAAGTAACTATTGCCTGGTATTATCAGTGACCTAGGAACAATAGCCATGTATGACCAGTGGCGTAGTAACAATAGCCTGGTACTACCAGTGACCTAGTAACAATAGCCTGTATTACCAGTTGTCTTGTAACAATTATATAGTCTGGTACTACCAGGGGCCTAACAACAATAGCCCGGTACTACCAGTGGCCTCGAAACAATAGCCTGGTATTACCAGTGGCCTAGTAGCAATAGCCTGGCATTACCAGTGGCCTCGAAACAATAGCCTGGTACTAGCTGTGTCCTCAAAACAATAGCCTGGTACTACGAGTGGCCTAGTTACAATAGCCTGGTACTAAGAGTGGCCTAGTTACAATAGCCTGGTACTACCAGTGGCCTATTAACAATAGACTGTTATTACCAATGGTCCCGTAAAAATGGTCTAGTAATACCAGTGGCCTAGTAACAATAGGCTGGTACTACCAGTGGCCTGGTAACAATTATATAGCCTGGTACTACTAGAAGTGGCCTAACAACAATAGCCTGATACTACTAGAAGTGGCCTAGCAACAATAGACAGGTATTACCAGTGACCTAGTAATTATAGCCTGGTACTACCAGTGACAATACCCATGTACTACCAATGACCCGATAACAATGCCCTGGTATTACCAATAGTCTAGTAACATCATCTCTTGATCATGTAGATCATTTGGAGCCATATTACTGTAAACCTAAAGACTGTTTAAGAAATAGCCAGCCATTTTTGGATATTTAGTTTATATACTTGATATTTTGGTCTCAATATTTTGATTATATTCCAAGACTATGGATTTGTTATTCTAATTTCTATATAAGGCGTCTGATGGCTGGAGCTAATTTTCTGGAAAATTCCATAATCGAAGATATAATCATCGTCTATATAACTACAAAGCAAAGCGGGAAAATAATATCGTCTGATAGGCTATAGTTCGTGACAGATCTAGTGTCAGATTGAAGAATGATCCTGATTAATGTTTCTTTGATTGGAAGTCGTACAAAGACTGACATGGAAGATGGAGCAATTACAAATTACTTTTATCGCAATGATCTTCATTACTTTACATAAATCTATTTTCAGTAATTCCGGTACTACCAAACGTTTAGTATTCATTGGATATCCACAGATGCTTTGTTATAAAAAAATACAAATATTCTTACAACCAAAACCAAACTAGCAGTCGCGAATTTTATGGCAGCTCTAAAATTTTGAGGAAATAAACCAATTTCCACCAAATCTGTTACATTCCAAACTATTTTGATATATAACATCGAGATCAATTACTTTGGCCTATGTATTAGTATTCAAACATCCAATGCGTTAATGTCAAAAATATACCAGGTTTCATTCGAATCCAATTAAGTTGCGGCCTAACAGCTAATCCCGGGATAGTAGAATTCACTACATAAATTAGACATTTCAAAAATTATTACTTATATTACAGCACTTCTTTTGTTGTATAACTGCAATAATTCAATTCTGTTCTTGGCAAATGCTTATCCAAAATAGTCAATGTAGTCGCTGATTGCAGACAAACTAACTGAATTCATCGTAACAACTGATGAAATTGAAAAAAATGAACCATGAATAATTCATAATGTATTCTAGTGAACAGTTTGAACTATTGAACTAATTAGAGCTTATTTAAATGTCTCAGAAGGAGGTCGAGGTGAATTCTATAGCTTTGAGATCATCGAGGTTAACTAACATCAATGTAATACATCTTAATGAATGTTGGCTAAACTGATTCCGGACTTCAAGGGACATGAAGCTATTCCCATTGGGTTATATAATTGAGAAATAAATAGGCAGACAATTGCACTCTTGTATATCTCTATCTCCCAGCCTAGAGTAATCTTAATCTTACCAATTTGAGGTACCAGAAATTTGTGGAACTGGACAGCCTCTTGAACAAAGTTTAAGATTCATATTGTACGATAGGGCCTAAACGTCAATTCATTTGAACATCTCTGTCAGGTTTTTGGTGGAGAATGTATAGTCACCGTGATGCTTTGATTTCATTTTTCTTGTCGCAATAATCAAACCCATTCTTAGAAATATGCATAACATAACAAAATTCAATCATGGATTCACAAATCAAATATGACGTAGTATGGTCTATAAGTACTAAAGTCCAATGTAAATCTCTGTACACACAAACAAGTTTTATTTTTCTTCGATATACCACCACAATACACAGAGCCTATATAAATTCAAGGGGTGAACAAAAAGTAAATAATTTAATGCAATAAGAACATAATTAAATAAATACGAGGCAAGATTTTAACAAAATTTTTACACAATTATAGAAACAAATAGATGTAAAACCATTTCATTTGGACAATTTTTCAGAATTCAATACGATCTTAGAAGCAACCAACACTAAGCAACAGAAACTTGTTTCAGGATAAATTGTCATGCAACGTCTTTCATGCAATCATTTTTGTTTTTTGTTATTGACTGTTTGGGATTTGAAATCCTCAGCGGGCCATTTTGTTTTGAAGTCGTTTAACTATATCTATTTACTTTCATGACAATGATACATTTGCAATACTTCACTGACAGTGATAGAACTATCGGTTTGATGGTATGTGATAAACATAATCTTTTCTTACATCATATGTAATGGACGCTAAGAGTCTAAAACCTTTCATGAGCGGATATTTATTTTTATATTTCCATGTCTAGCGTGTTTTATCATCATAATGTTAGACTTATCACCTCTACTTCCGGTTGCGTGTTTCTAACAAAAACTCCTTTTTATCATGATTGCTATAAATCGTCCGAGATGACTTCCGGATCGGACCGCGAGATAAAACATACACTAGCGGACACAAAGCAATTTGAGCATAGGTCATCCAGGCACTAACAGTCACAATATGTGATGGAATACTAGAAGCTTGTCCAAAAATCCGCCAAAATCCTACTATAGTATATGGAGTCCATAACACAGCAAACACTATTGTTACAACAAAAAATAGCCGAGTTAAATGTTCATTTTTTATAACTTGTAAATTCAAAACACGACCAATATTAGGCCTTTGATTATTCCTGACTATATTCTGGTTATTGTGGTTGATTACGGGATTTGGATTAGGACCACCAAATCCGTTTACCCAATTAATCATTGCTTGTCCGTTTGCACCAGGACCAAAGAAATTCCAATTCGAACTTCGAGCAGGTTGTAACTCTAAAGGGCGCATGCGTCGATGATCACGAAGAAAGATGAATATTCTGACATACAAAAATAAAGTTAACAATATTATAAGAGTGAACACAGTTTTAAATGCTAGAGTATCATTTTTCTTGTAATGCTTGTGGTGAAAGGTACATTGGCCTTCTTCTGCGATAAACACATAGCTGCCAACTCCTAAGACAGGTGGAAATGACATAGTGAAGGCAATTGTCCATCCAATTATGACCGAAATAAGATTGACCACACCTCGGGATCTTTTCTTGTAAAACTTCACATGCACTAAAGATAAATGACGGTCAATTGCAATAGCCAACAACACCATGCATGAACTGTACACAAAGAAGGAATTAGCGAAGGCAAATAGTTTACATGCAGCACTGCCATAATTCCACACTGAACCCTGTAACACTGACGTCATCACTAATGGGATACAGAAGATTGCGCGTGATAAATCCGATACACAGAAACTTAGTAGGTAATAAAATGGCGGTTTGTGTAGATTTCTGTCTCTGATAACAGAATAAGTAATAAAACCATTGACAAATATCCCAGATATTGCTATTAGAACTAAAGACACTGTTTTTAAAATTAAAGCCTCCCTGCTCACGGTATAAGTAGCGCTGAGATAGGAGTCGCTGTCGAATGGTTTGGGAATGTAAACAAGGTTTGGGACTGTCAGAATTGACGGTAAGAATGGCGAAGCATCTGTGGCGTTTATATCCATCCAACTTTCTGAAGTTAATCTCACTTCACTTGTCACTGACGAAACAGTTGTTATGTTAAACAGGCTGTTGGTAATATTACTAACCATGTCACTATTAGCCAGCAGACTTATAGCTTTCGGAGGTGTTCCACCATTATACGTCACTTCTTGTGTTAGATTAAATACTTGGGTTAACTTTGAAATTCTAGAAAATATTGAAGTCACTTCCGACGTACCACCAGAAATATTTTCTGCTTTGTTCGTAAAATTTGGATCACTTATTCCGTACTCCATTTAAATGGCCTACAATACCGTTACCGATGGAGAAAAAATATGGCACTTGGTAGGCCTACCCCTTTTAAGCAATGTATCCTTTTATAACACAGTTACTTTGGTAATCTCCCTGCATCATTACACGAGTGAGTAGTACTTACTGTTTCACGGAGGTCTGTTTGAAACAAGACAAAAAGGATGAAGGCTTTGGCTCTACAAAAGAAACAAATGACACCCTGCAGCCAGATAGTTTCATCTTCAGCGAATCCAATCACAAACCACAACAATTCACATCTTGCCGAATATTATTCAAGAGAAAGTCGATTTCTATTCTAATCACGTATCTCGGCTGCCTTAGTTACAATCATCAAACACATCGAGTGGTTTCAAGTATTTCTTTTCTTCCAATTATAATTGTTTCTAAGCCATTTGATTGAAACAAACACTCATTAGATATGGATTAATTTTAATCTTGTTAAATCCTCATTTACGTGGCCTTTTTTCTCGTTAGAATAGAGAAATTAGTGTAAAAAGCAGGTAATTTGTTTATGTTGATGAATGTATCACGAAATATCATCAGAGACAAGTTCATTAAGCCTTTGTAATCTGTATATTATTAACCATAATCCCTTCCCACAACACTGGGATTAAGTCTTTAATTATCTTCCTATTTCCAAATGAATTTCAGCCAAGAATATCAGTTGTTATTCCTCTGGTACTAAAATGATGTTATTTATCATTTAGTCGTTGAACATTGTAATGTAAGTCGATCTTGTCGTGCTTTGCTTCTTTACAATACTGTACATTAAAGACACATTCAAGTTTAATTTTCCTAGAAGATTCTACAGCATTATTTGACCATCGCTTTACTTAAAAAATCTGCAATAACGAATAAATTACATTTCCTGTCTTTCACTATTTTCAGGAATTTTCATTAGACTCCTGTCACTTCTCGTAAATTACAAAACACGAACCACTTGTCGATGAAAACATCTTCAGAAAATTGGTTCCATCTCTTCTAATAATAATTGAAATAGTTTAGGAATAATAACAGACCATATGAATTTAAGGAGTATTTAACATTCACTGCCACATGTAGAAAGTCTGAAAAGAAGAATAATATGATTTGAATGGAAGAAGGGAAAAGAAATATTTATTTAGCACGAATTGCCATTGATTTTGTCATTGTAGCAATAAACTTCCACCGCTTTATAGGATAGCTGTAAACCTCAACGATATGTTACAAGGATGAATGAAATGAATAATGGACGAATGCCTGAAAATAGTAGCCGCTTGACCGTTACAAAAAATGGAGGTTGTATTGAAAATGAAGATTAGGATCGAGCCAATACTTCCTGGTACCGTTTCGTACGTTTTGTAGGGATACGATTAGGATTGGTTAATATCAGACGGTTGTTCAGATCAAAGGAGTGATCCCGAAGTATGGCTCTGATCTAATACAACCACCTACAATAAACAATACGCCACAAAACGATGTGCTGTGGATCAGATCTGAACTGATATCAACCTTTTTCACAATTAAAATTGAGAGTCACCACGATTGAACCCCGATTGGTAAATATAAAACTCAGATGATTTTAATAGTGCGCATATTACAATAGTGGAAGATTGGCAAAAGCGAAACCTTATGTTTCTAGGAAGATAGTGTGATTCTGGATATATATAGGGGTCTAATAGATCTAATATGGGGATATTGTGAGGATATAGGCCTAATGAGAAAATAAACCTAATACGTTATTATAATGAAATACAAATTACATTGGATCTATTGGATTCAGAGCGACTACATAGAATTCCTAAAACCAGGTTTGGAGCAGTAATGAAGGACGAAAGATTTAAAACTCTTTTGAATACAATTCTTCGTTGAGGCGCCCTCATATTATATGCAATATTTAACATTTCTATTTACATGTATATCTTGTCATGTATTGGTAATTGCGTATATATTATGGCCGCTCTCTAACCAAGGTTCTGAAGACAATGGATAAAAATCTTCAATCATTCTATTTCCATTTTAAAAGAGAACTTTTTTCAAAGACTCCTTTCATCAGTGATGAATTCATTGATCACTGTCAGTGATTTTTCTTTGATAAAAAGGCATTATGGTGGATTGCTATTGTAGATTAAATGTCATTATGACTACTGGAATAAGCACTTTCATTTTCAATTCACAATTCAAAATGTGTATAACAGCTAAAGGTACATGGATCTGCTTGGCGTTGCTCAGCATTGCATTATGTTCTATTATAAACTGCTGAATTTAACAAATTAATAAGAAAAGGGACATACAATGCAATAGATGATAGAATTATTCTTATCCATATCGCGTACAGATGGCAATGAGAAACTCAAAAATATGTCTAGTCTACGGCCCAATCCCTTACTAGCCCAATCCCTTACTAGCCCAATCAGGTACAGCTTATCATTTTGGTATCATGCACATTACGAACAATATGCTTGTCTCCAATAAGTACGAATCTAGAAATTTTCACGTATGTTTGAAACGATTCTGATAATAGATTTAACTAGAAGGAATAATAAAACATATGTTTCTTAGATTTCCCCGTCTGGTGATTTAACTATAAGAGTTCTGTAATTAAACTAAAAGGTTAAAGTAGGATTTGAACCCTGACCGGATTTGTCTGAGTTCAGATTTTATGATGTTATTGTATATCAATTGATGTGAAATAACTGATCGATAAAACAAATAAACTATAAGAAATTATACTCTTAGCCCACAGGTTTCTGTATTAACAAGTCATTCCATTTGTTTCAACAACATGTTACAGTAAATGCATGGTCGGTATTGATCCAACATTTCAGATCTTTGTGCGTATATCATTCATTATTCATTACCATTTTTTCAGAATACATTGGTTATAACGTCAGTGGCTTTAAATCTAAATTAGGTAAAAACACAAATGTTCTTTTAAACAACACAATGTACACTGTTGACATTCTGAACAGACTTTACACCTAAATATAGGTGGAAACTTAGTTGTCACCAAATAGATTATTGTTTCACACCAATCCATAGATAAACTCTCTTCTTTGTACATAAAATAGCGTATTTTACTACAACTGCCCTTATGCACTTGGAGGTTGGTATCAGCAATAGACCAATAGTATGGAATCTTAAACCAAAGATTATACCATTTTTGTGTTGCAGAGTTCTGTAATTATGCAATTTCACTTCTATTACAGAACAAAAGTTGATGTGTACATAATCAACATCAAAATATTTTTAAATACTACAAGGGCAAATCGCAAATATTTATACGTACTTTAGTAATGCACATGTATTTGTACATGGTAGACTGGTTCTCAGTCCGGAAGAACTGCATTGAATATAATGTTTAACTTTGAACTATAATTTGTTTATTTAGTCCCTTTCCTTCCTAAATAATTATTTAAATGCATACCTTTGAGTATTGAAATATAGATTTAGATTGAGATGCTTAAATTTGTGGTATACGCCAATGATTTATAGGTCAGTGATTCTCCTATAACACTTAATAGGCTACCCAAACAACGTGGCGGTCTCTATAATCTAGACGATTGGAGTACAAAAGTATTGGGGAAAATATCAAATTATCTGGTTCAATATTCAAATATTGACATTGTAAAACTTTCATCAATATTGTTAGTATAGCTTATACCAATTGTTTCTTTCAAATTCTTTCTTTTCAAACAAATGTTACAAAGATTTTACGATGCTAGATTAATGAATGAATTTGTAAACCATCTGTGACTTCTTGTCGTTGTATTGTCAGCATGGAATATTTTTACTGATTTTAATTTTAACGTACACGTTTATAAATATCATTGATCTTCAATGAAATCTAAATGTCAAATGAGAGATAAATTCGTGAAGGCTAGAACAACGGTAGTACCATTGCATGTGTTTGTATATTGATGTAGTCTATATATTATTACACAGTATACAGTATAAGAATGACCCAAGTCTCCATAGTGTATTGAACACTTATACGGGCAAATGTGTCATTTTGAGGGGTTGATTTGAGTCTTGAAAATATGTAAATAGTCTTCAGGTGTAGCCTAGTAAAAATCTACGAATATTGCACTATTCTTTCAGAAATATCTCAAACTAAGAATTTTATTCAATATTTCTATATATGTCTTTTCTTTATATCACAGAGTTTCTTGAGACGAGTGGTCATTTTAATATTCAAGCGCAGATAATTCTGGACACACTTGAATTTATAGGCTCAAATTGTCATGGTGAGAAATTAAAATATTCTGGGAAATAATATATATGTCATCGATATAAATATATATGCTATACCTATCGTGATAAAAACCATCTTTATAGAGAAATTTCATGAATGGAAACAAGATAATATGTTTAAGTTCTATTGATTTCCAGACTTTGAAAATTATGATCAACGAACAATAAGAAGAAATATTCTATAATAATTCGAGGAAGAAACATTATGTTTAATGTATTCACAACATTCGAGACATTCTATCATAAACTCTAACCTTATGGAAAACATCTCTTTGTAGTCTTACTCTATCCGTCAATTTTTGACTAGTTTGAAATTATGTTCATGTTTACTTGTAATACATTTAAATAGTAAAGCACATTCATATTGTTTCATATGAGGTAATGTATTTTTTTTTTACCAACACAATCCGCTGTCTACTATAATTCCTACGCTTCTGGTTAGTACTGCCAAACAATATGGTAAACAGACAAATGTCCA